AAGACTATTACCAAAGATGTCAACTACTCAACTTAGAACCTCTTTGGATAAGACGCATCAAATTAAATCTTGTATTTATCTACCGACTTATTAACGGTATTTCCTACTCCTCGGTATCCACCCCTTCATACCTTATGATATCATCCCACAGTCTACGCAATAAGGAGAATATTCTACCGATTCCAAGAACCCACACAAACTTACGTCAGAATTTCTTCCTTATTCGCCACTCAACCATATGGAACAGGCTTCCAGTGAACCTCGGTCGCAGTGAAACTACAACCCGGCTCAGAAGTCTCCTTGACGATTTTCTTTCCGAAAGTGAATTATATCACCTATTGAATATCGATGTGTTTAATAATGATTTATACAAAAACGGTCCGTCATCCATTTAATTGACTGAAAAGAAAAATGTAACCTTTGGAACTTTACACGTCTATTTTATTTTATTTCTACTCATCTTAATATATGAAGTCTGGTTATGTTCGTATTTATAATTATTACCGTTATCAACATGATTATTGGTCCCCCGATACATTGGATACTCTTTTTATCTCTTCTTATCCTTATAAACATATTTAATTCCAGATTGTCCTTTGAAATCAATTGTGACTTTCATAGCATCATTCTTAATTATTATTGCACAAATGTTTATACTAATATCCGGTTTCACTCTGTATACTATCACATAAATCTAAATGTATTCATCCGAGTGCACTAAAGGACTTTTATTTTATTTTTCTCAATTACTGGTTTACTTCTGAGGTCGATATCCATTACACAATTATTATTCTTATCATGGATGAACCTTTTCACTGGGTGTCCACTTCTTTTCTCTCTCTCATTTTCCCTTCTAAATAAATAATATTCTTAAGATTACGGAGTTTGTAAATAGGGCAAAAACTTGTGTTACACATAAATTAACTTCGCAGACCCCTTTTATCTTCACTATGCATATATGTCTCATACATATTGATATTTCATTATCCTTTTCACGCAATTGAAACTGTCATCGCATCACTCCAAACTATGACTGCACAAACATTTATTCTAGCGTCATATCTTACTACAATAATAAGTTGTTTTTTCTTAATTATTTTTTGTTACTAATTTGACGATATATACATGGTCGTTTAATCATGTTCTGTGTTCACAAACACGCCTATTAAACTATTTGCGTATTTCACGTCTCCTTTATTTCTGTTCCCTTCTTTTCTCCGTTTCCTTCTTTAAACTGAATTCAATATTCTTTCCAATTACACACACCTGATTTATTATTGTTCTATTGTTATTGTAGAATCCAAACTACGGTTTGGATGTTGAAGAATAGCCGACCGGGGATTTTAGACACGCGCCCTTTCCCGTCGAAATCAGAACAAGTAATCGGGTAACTAGCGGTTCTATAATTCATCATAAATTTAAATGTAAATCGTTACCTAAACAAATATTACCACCCTGCTATTCAACCAATTATTGTTCAATCAATCAAATCTAAATTACAATAAATAAAGAATTTGATAGAATATGAGGGAAAATTACCATTCACAACAAATGAACGTTATTCTATCCTGACTGGATAGAACACACACAAAAGGAGGAGCAAATCAATATGGCTACCTCCAAGAACAAGTGTCAAGTAAAACAACACAGATGCAGTTCAGGAAGAAACACAAACTTAGTGAATGCGTAAGAAAAACAAAAACTATAATAAAAAATACAAGTATTAACAACTCAAATGTAATCAAAATACAACAATGTACAACTAAGGGAATCAATAGGAACAAAGTACAAGTATATACATGGAGGGATTTTCACCAACACATAAAACCTTCAAAATGGATCTTACAATTATTACTACTATTTTTTTAAATATGGCAAGTATAATGCTGACATTATTGAAAATTGTGTATTATTGCATTTTTTGAAGAAACCCGAAATGGTTTCTTCACAACACTTATGCACCCAGAAGATGTTTGCGAATGATAATAACTGGAGACACAGACTCATGTGCACTTCAGGCAGACTTAAATAGCACGGTTAACTGGTCTAAAGTATGTCTACATGCACTTTGAGGATACAAAGGTTAATAGGTACGGCATAGGGGAAGCGCCACTACCCGCGGTCCGGTCTCATCCGTATCTAGGGGTGATGGCGAGTCATGATCTTAAGACGGTGGATCATTGCCATGAGGTCTCAGCTACGTGGTTTAGAACCCTCTGAGCTTTAAAATGGACATTCACTAAGTTATATACTACCATGTTCATCACAGTATACACAACTTTAGTAAGAACTAAACTTGAGAACTGTGTTCAGGCTGCAAGCCCCTGTTTAAAAAGTGACTCGGAAATTCTAGAAAAAGTACAAAGGGCAGCTACCCGTATAATTCCAGAACTCCGGGGTTTACCATACAAAGAGAGGCTTGAAAAGCTGGATCTCTTTACTCTGTCCTATCTTAGACTAAGGAGAAATCTAATTTCGATGTATAGAATACTCAAAAATGATTTGGGACCTAACTTATTCTCTCTTTTTCTTCACACTAGATCGGGACATTTCAGAAGATATAGCAGGCGAGTCGACAAGCTAAGAACGAACAAAGTACTTGTGGCATACAAGTTTCCCAACGAGTCATCAATACTTGGAACCTGCTCCCCCAAGCAGTGGTGTCCGCACCTTCAATTGACTAGTTCATGAGAAGACTGGACACTGACAAAAGCATATTAGAAAAGAAATAACACAGGCTGTAGGCCATCTGTCCTTAATACACGAATCTGAATCTGATTTATATTTTGACAACTTCCCTCATCCTACACCGAAATTTAGACCGATCCACTGAACACTGAGACACTCCATTACTTGAATTAATACCCACCAGACCAATGAATTGCTTCAATGCGATGCAAAATAGATTGTAATCCCTGAGCGTTTATATTCAAGGATGTGTCAAATACAATATCTGTCCAAGACGTGTGACACCAACAAGAAAAGGTCTAGCGCTCGGAGATATGAGGAGATTATGAAAGCACGTAATGTATCTAAAAAATGATTAAAACTTGTTGTGGTGTACAAGGGGACTGTCATTTCTTAGAAATGATTTAGAGATCCAGGGTTTTTTGAGTTAACTTATTTTTTGGGTTTCTTGGTATTGACGAGCTCGGACATACGTATAAGAGGTCGAGAGTACGAAAACTAAGATCAACACGCATAACATACAGAGATTAAAACAAGAAACGAACTCGAAGATCGTTCTCAGACGTGCCGAGCAAAAAGGCTCACCAGTGAGCATTTTAGATACGAAAAAAATAGGGTATTGTTTTATGAGTAATACTTTGAGGACAAACCGGGATAAAATCGATAATTGCTGAAGGTCTTTTCATACACATTGTTCCCTCTGTCGTTTCGAAAGGAGCAAGGACAAAGATTCTAGCAGAATGGCATGAATTCATTTTATTTCATAAATTCTCGTCAGCTGCTTAAAACCTGCGATTTTTAAAGTCGTAATTACATTGGTTTAAGTTACTTGTATGAGAGTTTTGGTTGGTAGCTATATGTATATATACTGTACGAATATGTCTTCAACAGTGATGCAGTTAAATAACTGATGAATCGTATGACTATACACTACGTGGATTCGTGCTACCCAAAGTAAGAAACTATAAAGATTTAGGAGTCATGTTAAGCAATGATCTCAAAACGACTAGTCACTGTAAGGTTGCTGCTGCGAAAGGCTATAGGGTATTATGGTCAATTCGTAGGTCTTTCCAGTATTTAGACGATGAAATGTTTAGATTACTATACCCGATTTATGTGCGACCACATTTAGAATACGGGATTCAAGCAGCGTGTCCTTGTTTCAAATATGAAGCAGATATGCTAGAAAGAGTCCAACGACGAGCTACTAAGATGGTACAAGGTCTATCTGGCCTATCTTATGAAGACAGACTGAGACACCTTAACTTATTTCCGTTATCTTACCGTAGAATAAGGGGTGATCTAATATTGGCCTATCGTATACTGAACGATGATCTTGGTATTAGCATGTCTTGTCTTTTGCTTCCGTCTAGGACTGATCATTTGAGAGGACATTCGAAGAAAGTTCAAAAACCGAGATCAAACCGTTTAAGTTTGGAGTTCCGTTTCTCGCACCGAGTAGTGAATTACTGGAATTCTCTACCGGAACACGTAATATCAGCTCCATCTGTTAATATATTCAAAACGAGATTGGACCTCCACAGTATTACAAACTGCAAGGATTAATATAGGTCGACAGACCTCCTATCCTTATTACTGAAGACTGAAGACTGAAACAGAACTTCCAACCAAACCTTTCATGCAAGTGATTTAAACCCATTATGTAATTATGATTTCGAATATCACAGCCTTTAAGCAGCTGACGAGAACCTACAAAATGAAATGAATTCATGCGACATTGCTAGAACCTTTGTTTTTGCTTCTTTCAACATTGTTGAGGGTTTTTATAAAGCAATTTACTTTAGGACTCATCGCTACAGATACAGATCACAGAGGACTAGTTGGTAATAGTGAAGCAATCATAAATTTGTTCATGATGGCGCAGAAACAGTTCACGTTTATAAATTTGAGAGAAGTCGCATATTCCTTTCAAAATTTATGCACGTAGTGCAAAGTTTGTTTTTCTTAATCACACCTACAATTGGACAGCCTAGGGAGATGTACCTACCGAATCTAGTCTTGTGTGCTTTGTGGTTTAGATGAATTCAGTCAATTGTTTTTCAAAAATGTATATGATGCATAATAGAGTCTGGCCTTATTGGTGGGGTTTGATATTGTTCGTAATACAAAACTTATGGTAAACCTCAGAAACCTTCCACTGCGAGAAATCTGAATGGTTTTAGTCTAATGATAAGTGTCAAGAATACGAGAATCCAATAATTATTGCATTGCGAAGTAAGTTACGTACCAGTTCATTGTTCCTGCTTCTATATGTTCTTTTTAAATTGACCTCGTATCCGACACTGAACGTCCTAAAACTGAGCGCCACCTTAAAAGTATGATCTGTTCGTCCATAAGGTCTTTTTTATGAAGGGGGTTATTTTAACTTAATGTAATTGTTTTAAGCGGATATATGCCCATTCAGATTTATGAAATGTCATTTATATAGTACACTAAGTAGCACGTTCTCGCCAAAACATTACTGTTTTACTTCATTTCAAGATTCTTCAATGTTCCTTTGAGCTTCTACAGTAATTTCTGTTGAATACCTGAGTTTTTATTTCATTATGCGATACCTCAATCCCCTGGTTTCGGGGGAGATTTTATACGTTTTAGTAAAGCCATATTGGAAAATGTTGGAAAACCCCAAAGGTTCATATCTGGAATTTTACCTCGAAATATCCTCAGACTTTGGGGAAGGTACTCATTTTCATTTGGTTTTAGGGAAAGCCACAGAATTTCCCCGAAATCAGGAGACTGGGACTAGCCGTGAATTAGTTTCCATGATTATTATGCTCAGGAAAATGACTCAGTACCTGTAAAAAAAAGAAACAGCCTTTTTAAGGGGTGTTGGTTCAGTAGTTAGGGCGTTCGACTTCCAGTCATTCGAACCTCACTTAATCTACTTCCGTTTGGACAACCAGGTGGTTCCTTCAGCCTTCACACTTCTAGGGTAGCTCATATACAAATACTTGGTAATGAATAATAATTCTTTCTCAGGTTGAATATTCAATTTAAAGTCTACGTCCATTTGCGTCTTTGTTTTTTATCATATGAAATGAGCTTCACCAAATCCTAAGACACTTTCAGACTGTATACTTATATGTTCAGTACACTAGATTTACATGTCTCGGAAAGCAAAACAGAACAGATTTTAGATTGGATTCACAGTTTTGTGATTAAATTTTGTTGGGGATCAAACACCGTACACCAAAGACTACAATAAGTGAAAAACCTTTTCATACGTGAAAAATACTATGCCTAGTGAGAATTTTCCCTCGACTATCGGTTAGATAGCTAAATGATGCGCTTTCACTTTGCCCCATATTTATTTGTCCTTCCTTGATTGTCTTTCGTCCATTTCGTCTTAGTTTATCTCCCTTCTTGTTTTTTATGGTCCACCATCAATGTGGGTTTAAATTGATGTTCTAGGTTCTACATAATTTAAACCTCTAAATAGATTCCGATATTACTTCCCATTGTAAGTTGCAAACTAGTTCCTCTGTGCTAGATGGTTTTCAAAGTTGATGTGATGGTATTTTCTCAACCTTTGCCCCCAAATACCCTGGTACGATCGAGAGTGGGCAGAGTCCGCTCTCTCTCTCGAAATGCTCCGACATGGCCACGCGTATATAGCCCCTGCCAGGGAAGTCCTATTCATTGCCTTCTCGTGGCGGGAGTGTTGTTTACGAAATTGAGAGGACAAAAAGTGAATGTCCGGCGTTTTAACCGCGCTGGTGGACACGGAGAGTCCATCTAGGGGAGTTGAAAAACCCTGATTCCAAACCACTGGTGCACATGAGCTCCAGTATCCTGAAGGAACAAATGGCGTATGAACCAATCGTTGGTCACCGGTTACCATGGGACTGCATCTCCTTACGATGCTCTACTACCTTGTGGATCAGACCTTCAGGTCAAAGACTCGGAATGTGGCCCCCTAAGAAAACCACTTGCTTCGGTTTGGACACCCGGGCAGTATCTCAGCTCTCACACATATCAAATGGGATTTGGGTGGCGCGTATGTAACTGGTGCGTTATTGTGCCAGTATTTATGTGTTCAAATAAATAAATTTTCTTTTAGCCCGGGGTATAAAGTTATAATCCTTCGCCGGATTGCGAATTTGTGATCGTCAGTTCTGATCTGAGATAATATAATGATATGTTTTCCCAGTACTGTGCGCACTAAGTCAAGATAAATGTCGGTTGATTATGCATCTAAGCTGTCCTACTATCCCAACAAAGGAGTTTGTGGTGTACCTGAAGTTCTCGATGACGATTCCCAACTAAATTTTAAACTCACTGAACTTGTTAATTTGGTACGTCGATCCACCTACATAGTTGTGCATACTGGAGCTGGTATTAGCACATCAGTGGGTATACCGGACTTTCGAGGTCCTGGTGGTAGGTTTAAACTTTACAATAGTTATTCGTTGTAGGTGTCTGGACGTTGGAGAAAGTTGGAAAGAAGCCTAAACTTTCTATACCTTTTGAAAAAGTGATTCCATCACTAGCACATCGAGCTCTTGTTGAATTGGAAAAACATGGTACTTTTGATTTTTTGAAATCCTTCTTACGTTCCCAGATGTTGTCAAATTCTTAGTGACTCAAAATATAGATGGGTTGCACTTGAGATCTGGCTTTCCAAGAGACCGTTTGGCTATTCTTCATGGTGATATGTTTCTTGAATCATGTAGTGCTTGTGGAACTTTATACGCTCGATCAACACCTTCAGGATCAGTGGGTTTACGGCAGTCATCAGTTGTATGCACCTATTTGAAACCTAATAAACGGTGTTGCAGGTATGCTAACATATATTTGTGTAACATTAACAACAGAGGAAAGCTTCGTGATACTATTCTTGACTGGGAAGATGACCTACCACTCTTAGATTATAATCTTGCAATAGAACAGTCAAAGTTAGTCCTAAAATTTTAAAGTTGAGACTATGATTTTAAGAGTATTTTTCGGAGTTTATGTCATATCTTTTTTCGTTTCCAGAAAAGCAGATCTTCATATATGTATTGGCTCATCACTACAAATGTTCCCTGCTGCCGGTCTTCCTCTTACAAATGTTTGTAAGACTGTCAATACCAGAAGTACCAACAATTGTTCTTTCATTCAAAATGATTATAAAATTGAGAGTTCAAAGAATCTTGGATCAAAACTAGTAATTATTAATCTGCAGCCAACTAAAATGGCTAAATATGCAACTTTAAACATAAATGCACCGGCTGACTTCGTAATGAAAGTATTATGTGAAAAATTGAATATATTGGTCCCATCCATATCTCCACTCAATGATAGTTTGTATTCACCAGTAATTGTTTTGAGGTAAGTGTATTCAAACTGCTTATTTATAACAATCTATCCAATGCTCAATTTATTCGAAGTTATCAAATCGAACCTTGGTAATGATACCTGCTTATTTATATTGTCTTATACTTTTGGTCAAAATTTTCTGATTAATTTGTAACGAGCTGCTTTACACACTGCTTATCTTAACATTTTGAGGTGGCGAAAGTTTTTAGCTTAGTAGAATGATTTTGTTGAAATTGCTTTCTGTGAGCAGGGGGGTTTAATTGCGGAACTTTTGTTATCTTCCTAGGCAAAATCACAAACTTAAGATGGAAATAAGCTATGAGAATTTCCCCACAAGTGACTAGCAGCTTATTCTGTTGGTCACGAGTTTGATTAGCTATTGTTAACACTGGTCCTCCCATTATCAGCCCATTTGTCTTGATTGTCTTCCCTCTTGATCTGATTCTTGACCTTAAATTTGTTTATGATTTTTCTGATTGGACGCTGAATTTGGTTAGTGAAATAGTATCATTGGTTCACAAAGTGAAGCTCAAAGCCGAGTACATTAATCTGATGATAGTAAGTCACATTGCAAATTCGAATGCAGTAATTAAATAATTAGATTGTGAAATAAGTCTGATGGAAGCTCTTTGTCTTTTGTTTGTCTACAGAATGTCAAAGTGGAAATGTGATTACATGACTTAGTGACAAGCAAAACAATGAATTCAAGTTATATGTCTCTCGTTTCAAACTGAAAATCTTTATATCTTCATTTCGAACTTGATGAATCCCTTTGAAAATCTAGACGGACCTTTTGATTTTATTCTTGGATAAGTAGTAATATAACTAATGTTTTGAAGCAATGTTCCGTAAAAGAGGGTTATATTTGCACGTAACCAAGTATTATTTTTAACTATTGTTGTTAATTAAAAATGTTTGTGATTTGGTGTACAAAATATTGAATGTCCATAAAGTTTTCTAAATATTTCTTTCAATCTTTTTTCTCAAGGTCAATGCATTCCAATTTAAAAGCACAATGTCCATGGCGTATTCTCCCTCATCCAACCAATAAGCATTCACTTCTCATTGTTCAAACTAGTAGTCAGTGCATGGAACTAAAAACAAAAAAGGATGATGAAACGAGCTGTTTTCAGTCTGAAATTGTTCCAAACGAGTCACGCAGTACTGTTTCATTGTCTAAATTAGAATCAACGTCTTGATCATCTTTTCTCTGCTGATGTTTGTCTTTGAAGTTCAATAAACGATAACCTATTTTCCCTAGTTTTTTTCTGTTATTGAATATCTCATTTTCTTATTGGGAAACTGTAACGTAAACTCATCCAAATTATCTTCCCTATTTTATACTTCCAGCTATCCATGACTTCCCATCTCCGTGGTTGGGTTATCTACATACTGCTTTTATTTTTACGGTTTCTGTTTGTGTTCGATTTGCAGTCGGGTTATTTACATCCAGATGAGTATTTTCAGGGGATTGAAGTTGCAGCGGGTGACATTTATAATCTGGACGTATTAAGGACATGGGAATTCCAATTAGATGATAAAGGTCCTCTTAGATCTGTAGCTGGAATGTCACCTTTTGTACATATCCCGATTCAGGCTGCCAAATGGATTCATGGTGGAATTGATTATAAAAGTAATGTTTCTGTGATTTGAGGTTTGTCGCTCATTTTACACACATTTTATCTGAGTCCCACGTATACTGTTAAAAAATATGGGACTACGGTTAAATGGGACAACCTATCAGAGGTACGGAGGTTATGTTCTTTCTGCCAAAATCAAGTTGATTTGTGTACTACATTCTTTTTTACATGTTTTTTATACCATAAAGTTATTTTCATTGCTATTACTATTATGCATGTGTGAACCAGTAGCTAAGGCGTCCTATTTCCGTCCAGGTTCGAACTCCCCTTCATCTACGGATAGGACAACTAGTAGTTCTACTAACCCTTACACTTAGCGTTCGACTTAAAGTGCGTAAATCTGCACTTGGTAAACGAGTTAATAATCATTATATATCTTAGTTGATAACACATCTAGTTGAAAAACTAGTAAATATTCGTCTTATAACTCTTGATTAGCCTTTGTTTCATATCATGACATTGGCTAGCTGCTGTCTGTCAAGTTTCGTTGCTCGTTCAAGTTTTTAATAAATGAGAGTTAGCTAGTGTTTAGGATTGAGTCAGTACATAAACATGGTTATCATGCCCTTATAAAGTACACGATAGTGTTTGTGTGTATTATTTTTAATCATCTTGAAAATATCCCTAGTATTTCAATTTATTTATTTTTTAGCTGAAGAAACTGACTTCAATGGATCTGATATGTTAAATAGAATTCTGTTTCCCTCCCGGTTAGTCACTGTACTTGGTTCATATTTAGTCGATCTTTTTATATTACGCTGTTGCATACGTGTTGATCATCATCAAGTTTCAGCAAAGCAGACTAAAATTCAAAAGATATTACATGCTGTACAATATCATTCTGTACCAACAGCTTTATTACTTTATGCATCATGCGCATTCGGTGGGAGTTTATGGTCAACACGTACAATTGTCAATGTATGGGAATCAATTTATGTTTCTTTATTTGGCCTTCTGTTCTTGGAAGTTTTGGATCGTTTAGAGCAATCATCTGATCCTACTGTGAATAAACAATCCTTAATTCTTTTCATGTGTATTCAGTCTGCTGTTGTTGTGTGGGGTACATTTTTGCGACCTACTTATATTTTGTTCATTCTTCCATTAGGAATTATCGAATTAGCATTCATCTTAGTCAAGTTTAAGTACATTTCCATGATTCTTTGTTTACCATCTGTTCTACTTGTTTTTTTCAATACATTCATTTGTGTAATAATAGATACATTATACTTTCACAATGTGAGTTTATTACAAGCTTTCCAGGTCGATTTTTCACGATTTAAGATGATATATACACCTTACCGGTTTTTAACTTATAACTCCAACTCATACCATGTTTCTTCCCATGGCTTACATTCTCGATTTACACACTTCCTTATTAATTGGCCTTTAATATTTGGACCTATTTTTACATTTCGTTTATTCACTCAACCTTTACAACGTCGTTCAATTTCATCGTGTATTGCTTGGATCAGTGTGGTATTCCCTACATTTGTTTTGTCTATTATACCTCATCAAGAAGCACGTTTTCTTATCCCATGCCTACCGTGTGCTTGTTTCGTTGTTGGTCAGAGTGTTGATGCTAAAGTAAGACATACAAAAAGAAAAGACGTTTCATGTACTTGTATAAGTATTATTGTACTATGGATATTTCATCAGTTTATCTTGATTTTATTTTATGGGTACTTACACCAAGCTGGGCTATTTTCTTATATGAGAACCATTCCAAGTAATGTAACTGGATGCGTCACTCATGTATTCTTCAGAACTTACATGCCACCTCGTTTTTTGTTAAATATACCTTTAGAAAAATCTTCACATTATCCATCACAGTCTTGCAAATCACTTATCGATTTAGGAGGATCTAATGTGACAATTTTAAACAATACAATAAACCATCTTAAAACATATCAAAATTTCTCAGGTATACTCAAATTGGTGAGTCCAGCTGTTTTTGCAATCCTGATTAGAGATTTATTTTTCATCACTGTATTTTTTTTAGAGTAAAACAATACTATATAATTTACTCTATGAATTAAACATTAAGGAGACTAAAATACTAGGAAATTACTCTTACCCACCAAGTAATGCATCTTTAGTTTGAACCTTATTCAGGTAGCCATTGGCTAATGAAACCGAAAATATCATGAACCCGTTTTAAGTATTGAGCAATCGTGTTTAAATAAATTTACTGTTTTTAAAGATCTGAATATTTTTTGGAAAAGAAACCCAAGAGAAATTTTATCTTAACTACTTGTTTTTTTATTAAGTGAACTACTGAAAATATTTAGAGTTATACCATAATGACTTTTTGGGTTGGTGATATCTGGGGGTCTATTCAACTGGAAGATAATTTCCATGAGCTGATATTTATTGAAGAACTGTTAGACCGTGAGACCCTGGACGCCTGTTTTGTCCCGATTGGAAGCTCCTCAGCAGTATGAGTCTATAGCACTTTTTGGAGTGAAAGCCAGAACTTTTAACATTTGATTACCACTTGTGACTTGTGTTTTAAACATTTGACATAATTCTTGTTCATTGGGTACTACTTCTAGCCGTACTAAAATCGACGCGACTCAAGGCTTAGCACAAATCTACACTAAGTTTGGTAATAAGGTTAACTTTTCATTTGCATTAGTATCACTTTTTTTAATGCTCTGTTTTTTTGCTTAAGGGTATTTAATTAAACTGTTTAACTTGCTACGGAATAAATAGTTCTTTCCATAAATTTTTATAGTGTAACAAAAAGGAGTTAATCTGAAAAATGTTGTTTTCGCCATATACATTACGAACAATCTAGCCACACTTGTTAAACTATTACAATTGAAAAAACTAAAAATCAAACAAGATTACTGTAAATATATGGTGGTAAGGGAGTAAGAATTTAATGTAATATGAAATAAATATGTTGTCATCCTGGATTATGGTTTCCTTTTCTTTCCAGTTGCCTGTTCATATTTACTGACTATTATTTAATTGGCCTTTATTTGTCTTCCATATATAAACGCCTTGACATATGTGACCAGATTGTTTGAAATGCGTAACTCAAATGCATTTCGGTTTTCATATCAACTCCATCTCATTTGATTTAGTATTCAAGGTTTCGTGTTCAGTGTATCAGTAAACTTTGAGTTATCCATAGTGATTAAGAAAGAGTAAAAGAGCGAACGATCGTCTTCAATATCTTCTTCATTCGGTTGTACAGTTATAAATCCAAAATTATCATGTTTAAATAGACAAAATATTCGTATTGGACAATTGTGTTTTCATAATGATCAGTGATTTCTCTCTGCACATTTAGGCGTATCCTGGATCCATACAACCGTTGGAAAATTTACTTCTATCCTCTTGGGGTGATGTCGTTATGTGTGAACAGTTCTTCCCACATTTATCAATGGAGAACCCGCCATCCATTCGTCATCCTTTTGTTTACGAAAACTGGAAATCTCAATTATCATTACACGTACTAACGATCAAAGTTTAACTAAAATATATTTTCATCTAAATTTTTCTATGTGCTAATGTACTTTTTACATTCGTTTTTTCCATAAATCTCTTCGTATACCATTCTTTTGTTCTGATTTTAAATTTTGGCGTACATTAATTTCCAGAGTTGTTTGCTTTTAGTGTATTTGAATGATGACACTTATCAATGGGAAACCAACAATTTGTTAGTCTGCCTGGCCATGCACTTAAAATGCCATAAATCCAATACGGGTTTTCAGTCAATCAGTCAGTTAAGATCAGCATAGAGCCTGGCACATATTTATATTTGTTCAAGTTGCCCTGCCACATTTGCACAGCGAAATGAATTTAAGAAGATAAACAGTAAAGAAATCGAAATAGTGTTCTAGCAGTGACTCTACTGAAATCAGAACTTACATACTTGAAGTGATTGTTAATAAAACTGATCAATATAACTTTAACTAAGTGATATTACTAATGTTGTTGGACTAAGTTACTTTAATACATATCTATTAGCTAGAAAAATGTACTGTGTTTAGACAGATTGTCCTGTTTTTTTTTTTCAAATATTAACTTATTACATCAGACCGAATATTATTATTATTATTATTATTATTATTATTATTATTATTATTATTATTATTATTATTATTATTATTATTATTATTATTATTATTATTATTATTAGTCCAAATCCACAGCATTTTCGGATACTGTTATGATATACGATCACTGATATTCCATCTGATTGATGTATATTGGATGGGATCAATTAGAGGCAATCACCGCGTTGTTTTTTGGTAGTGGCGTTTAATTTCCGGAATTACTATGCTGAAGGTATAAAATAATGGCAATATAGCGGTGTGTGTGTCTTTAATGAATGTGTGATTACTGTTTATTTCTGCTTCTGCGTGAGTATTGAAAAATTGTCAATTCTTACTTATTTTTATTTCTACTTGTGTGATCCCTTTCAAGGAGTCCAATACCTTTGGAATGACGATTGATAAACATACTATATTCGAAACATCTAATCCCCTAACAGAATCTGTTAAACATTTACCAGGGATTACTTATGAAAGTCGAGTACTTGGTCATTTTCAAAATCCTGAGTTGTTTCATTCACCTGCCTCACTACCTAAACTGACTCCATCCCCAGACGTTAAGAATAGATCTCATTTATCCAGTATAAACAATAAACCATTGGTTCTGAATATTTCTAATCCCAGATTTCCACCAATAAGTTCATCCAAATCGACGACCACCAATGATTTTAGCGGATTATGGGTGAGTTGTTGATTCTGTTTTTATGACATTTATTATATATTGTATTTATACTCTAGAACTGGCTAGAAGTGCAGCTGTAAGTTAAAAGTGCATCCCGGTTTCCATGACAATCTCCAAAAATGACTACTTTAGTCATTGATTGGTTCTGATCCAACCCATGTACTTTTCAACCACATACCTGTTATTTAGAGGACTCCATTAGGAATTCTATCTCTAAATAACTCAGGTCGATAGAGATTATCTATATTGTTCCTGTAAAGTGTTAATTAAAACTAAAGTACAGTAGTTCAAAGGAATTCATCTTTCAGAAGGCTGGCATAGTTTATTTTCCATTCATCTCAATGGTGATTGCGAATATTCCAAGAAACTTAGTTTTCAGAGCTGGATAACCTACTTTTATGTATTCATGAGATTCAATTATTCATTGATGACATCTGTTCTTGAGAAATCTGGGGGCATGAGTTATATGCTATTGTTTATTGGATTTAATAGTTAAATTTACTTCATTACAGGCTCAAAGAACCTTACTAGTAAGCATTCATATTTCGACTTATACATTATCTGAACGCGCTATGACAATTGAAAATATAGGTAGTATGATTTCAAATCTAAAAATGACATGGATGCATCAATTCTTCACCTTCATACTTCGAACATTCCACCACTCATTATGTGGTGTGAGCTACTTATATTCATATAAGTAGTATATAACGTGCGTTAAATAAACGTAAGGTCCGGCAGCAGATGGCGAAGATCAAGAAAGGAAGAGCAAGAGCACAATGGAATTGTAAGAAAACACATGTACAATGGAATAGGAGACAATGGATTAGTGTTTGCAACGGGAACAGTACAGTTTGATATGATGGAATGATATTTTGCAAATTGACGATTGATTTTATGGTATTCACATTTTATTGAGATAGTCTGTAATCTTTGTGCTAAATACAATCGATTGTCCCCACCCGTGTTCTTGTTCACTACATTTGGTGTCGCTGCCAACCAGGAGAGGAGGAGTGTGCTGTTCTGCGGACGCCGTTGCGGGCCTGGAGTTGAGGTGCTAGTTGGGGCAGTCTGGTGCGGAGAGGTGGCGTCTGGTGAAGTGTCCTGGCGGGGCTGCGTTGGCTGTAGCGGGTGCTGTCGATGGAGTGGAGCGTCGGGACGCGCGGCTGCTGGGCGGACATTGGATGTAGATGGCTCAGCAGGCCGGTGGAGTGCGGATGTCAAGCGTCCCAGGTGCCGGGTGGATGTTGGTTGTTGTTACCCCGGCAGGTCGACAGAGCTGTGGAAGTCAGCGCGCCGCAGACTCGACATCTTGACGGAGAGCGTGGCACAGACTGCAGAGACGGAGAATGTTGCACGGCGAGCATGAACCACCACAAGAACGACTGCTTTAAGGGGGGGACGAGTGTGGTGTGAGCTACTTATATTCATATAAGTAGTATATAACGTGCGTTAAATAAACGTAAGGTCCGGCAGCAGAAGATGGCGAAGATCAAGAAAGGAAGAGCAAGAGCACAATGGAATTGTAAGAAAACACATGTACAATGGAATGGGAGACAATGGATTAGTGTTTGCAACGGGAACAGTACAGTTTGATATGATGGAATGATATTTTGCAAATTGACGATTGATTTTATGGTATTCACATTTTATTGAGATAGTCTGTAATCTTTGTGCTAAATACAATCGATTGTCCCCACCCGTGTTCTTGTTCACTACAATTATAGTCCCCCTTCCTGACTCCTACTTTTGTTTATTTTAGTATTTTTTTATTGTAGATTTCGTCTTTTTATACCGTTACAAAATATGGTTGTTTGATTAAATAATTTCATTCGTTAGCATTTGTACCTATCTATCTTTGTTTCAAATCTGATACAGGAAATGATTAATCAACCACAAGTTTCAAGACTTTGACTAAAGATTGTAATATGACAGCAGAATTCAGTGGTTTCTATCCATCTAAAATAAATCCTTTTTGATCACCAACTTAGTAGAGCGTAATTTATAATACATAAAAAATGAAATCATTTCATCGTAAGGTATTACCTCAACTTTATATGTAGCATAAAAACACATCAGGAACTATCGAGAAGTACATCTGACCAGCATAATTTCCGAAATCTCCAAACTAATAAACGTTTACAAATTTTCACTTGTTTCGGTCTACTGACTTAAGCGAATGAATCATAATCTATTCCACCTAGGTAACAGTTTTATGCGGTGATTTTTCACATCCGAAACTTAGGTATACTTTCTAAGTGGGTTTCGTCTTCACGCTTTCCAAATATAGTCGTCTCGTTGTTTGACGACTATATTTATCTTGAAATCTGTCGGACATATTTGGGGCTATTTTGTGAAGTAGTGTGGCACCGCATGAGAATAAATTTACGAGCGTTGGCAGAGTTCACTTCTTTGAGGTTAATTTTTTTTATAAGCCTGATGTGCTAAGCAATGGCCTCTTAGGATTCAGTCATCTTCTGCGGTCAGAGACTGAACTTATATACTTATTTACACCTGTTACTCCCAATGGAGCATAGGCCATCGACCAGCATTCTTCAACCCACTCTGTCCTGGTCCTTCCCTTCTAGTTCTATCCAACTGTAGTTCATTCTTCTCATGTCTATCTCCATTTCTCGGCGTAATATGTTCTTTAGTATTCCTCTTTCCCTTTGGTCTTGAGGATCCCATGTGTGTCCTATCCACTTCCAGCGCTTCTTTGTGATTTCTTCCTCCACTGGGATCTGGTTTGTTCTCTCCCACGGTAGGTTGTTGCTAATAGTGTCCGGCCAACAGATCCAAAGTATTTTACGTAGACAACTGTTAGTAAACACCTATATCTTCTGGATGACGGCTTTCGTAGTTCTCCAGGTTTCCGCCCCATACAGTAGAACTGTCTTGATATTTGTATTGAAAATCCTGACCTTGGTGTTGGTTGACAGTTGCTTTGAGTTTCAGATGTTCTTCAATTGTAAATATGCTGCTCTTGCTTTGCCGACCCGCGCCTTCACATCTACATCAGATCCACCATGTTCATCAATGATTCTGCCCAAATATGTAAAAGTTTTTACATCTTCCAAATCTTCTCCGTCAATTGTGATTGGATTGGTGCATGCTGTGTTGTATCGGAGAATCTTGCTTTTCCCTTTGTGTATATTGAGACCTATTGCTGCTGAGGCTGCTGCTACACTGTTCGTCCTCTCCTGCATTTGTTGTTGCGTTTGGGATAGAAGGGCCAGATCATCAGCGAAGTCTAGATCGTCCAGCTGCATCCTAGATGTCCATTGTATCCCGCGTTTCCTTTCAGATGTTGACGTCTTCATGATCCGAGAAAGGGTGAGAGTAAGCAACCTTGCCTGACACCGGTCTTTACCTCGAACGAGTCTATGACCTGTCCTCCATGCACGATTTTGCAGTGTAATCCATCATAGGAATTTTCTATGATATTGACTATCTTCTGAGTCACGCCGTAGTATCGAAGAAGCTTCCATAGTGTTGTTCTGTGCACGCTATCGAATGATTTCTCTTAGTCAATGAAGTTGATGTAGAGTGATGAATTCCATTCAATTGATTGTTCCACAATGATCCGTAGAGTTACGATTTGGTCTGTACATGATCTATCCTTAGGGAATCCTGCCTGTTGGTCTCGAAGTTGGGCGACTGAAGTGGATGTAACGTAATGTTATTATGTTAGTATTGTCTATTTGTAAGGACATAACTTCCTTCTATGGATAATTTTATCAAGTATGTTCATTTTCATAATTGAATTTATGAGTTAATCTAAGCTAGACCACCATTGAAAACCCGAGAGCACTGGACGGTCGTTTCGTCTAGAGGTTAAGCATTCATGCGCGAGATTGGAGGTCCTGAGTTTGAGTCCCGCGTGACGGATCGTGAATGAGCACTTCTGAGGAGTCCAATACTAAGACAAAATGGCCGTCACATGCTTTCAGGTTTCCAATGGTGGTCTAGCTTAGATGGACTCAGGAATTCAGTTATTAAAATTACCACAATCTCCGCAAATCCTCATTATGTTCATTTTGTTTTCTAGATTCTGATTGTCTCTTAAAATTTCATTAACGTCACTTCATTACTTAACAGTATGTCTTAGCGAAGTTCAAGGAGCCTGTTTATATAGTCACAGGTTTTAATGGATATGTATAACGACAGACTTGATATTGCATTTACGTTGTACGTGTTAATTTTTATCAAAACAGGTGTAGTGTGTTCAAAATGTAGACTTTGATGACTGGATTCTCACCCACTGGGTCCAGTGTAATGTGGTGTGAGTTTTGGTAATCTTAGTTTTAACTCATCGAGTCTTACGATGTGTATTATATCTTGGGTGTGAAAGTATTTTTGGTTTCTTGGCTACACACATCCGACCCTCGTTAGTATTTTCAAATTGCTACGTCAAAAGTCTTTGGTAGTTTAAATTGAAAAACTTGATTTCTTTTCTTTTCTTGCTGCTTTAATATAGCCGCCAAGTATCTCACTGTCCAACCGTATTATCAACAAAAATAATGATGGTTCACTGATATTACAAAATAATAGTTTCATTCCCAAAGCACTATCTGACCAACAAGATTTTCGCATTCCAACTAGCATAATCAATGATCAAATAGTTGTTCAAAACCCCTCATCGATCTGTCTTGCGGCAAATAATATTTCTGTAACCATTTCCCCTGCCTTACCAAACCTCATAACTTCGTCTGCATTTTGTTGTCCAACACGTTTCATTCCAGAAAGTGTAAAAACAACTATATCAAATCGAGTAAGCTATTGTTTCACTCCTTACTTTCTTCTATTCGATTGTCACCTATTTTACTTCGATTACATGATCACTGATGTTTATTTATTTATTTATTTGGACACATGAATATTGGTACAAGAGAGCGCCAATATATATGCGCCACACAAAACAATGAAAATTCGAGAGGAATACAAAGAAAGAAAGAAAAAAAAGCTAAGGAGCGCAACAAAAAAAGAGAGAACAATAACGAAGAGATTGGTGTAAGGTAATGTGCTAGTAATCAGGGAACGCTAACGTACAATCGGAAGGAATCTTTCAGGTAAGGGAGACAGAACCACTTTTTATGAAGAAAGTAAAAGAAGGTTACAGCAGGATCGCCACTGGCTTCTATTCTGAGCCATATCTGATAACGTCTCTAGCCAATGTGTAGCACCATCTCTCAGACCCCAACCAGGGAGTCGTGAAGGATCAACACAAGCCAGTCCTTTGCAGCTTTCTTTCATGCCACGACACCATGTCATGCACTGACCACCTCTCCGCTTCTTCCAACCAGTCCCAGAGTCGGCAAATAATGCACGACGTGGAATCCTCTGGGACGACATTCGGAGAACATGTCCAAGCCACCGAAGTCGGTGTTTCAAGATGGTGACACCAATTGAATTATCATCTCTGTACCCGAACACACGATGCCGAACCTCTGCATTACTGACATGGTGTTGCCACTGAATGTCAGCAATCCTTCGGAGACAGCGATGATCGAACACAGAGAGTCGTCTAACGTCCTCAACTCGGAGAGAACAGGTTTCACAAGCATAGAGCAAAACTGCTCTCACCGACGCGTTGTATATCCGACCTTTTACAGCCAGACTAACATCACGAAGGCGCCATAGATGGCCCAGATTGGCATAAGCCACTCTGGCTTTCACTATACGTGCATTGATCTCATCACTCACACCCCCACCAGCACTTATGCAGCTACCCAGATACACGAACTTCTCGACTACGTCTATCTGCTCACCATCCAGGGTGAGTACAGGATTGGAATCCTGCCAGTCTTGTAGGAGTACTTTGCACTTCGAAGGTGCAAAGCACATACCGTACCTACGGACACTGATTGCCAACTGATTAAGTGCGGATTGGATGCCTTGGGCATTATCGCACAGTAAGACAATATCGTCCGCATACTCAAGGTCGAGAAGTTTTTCTCCAGGCAACAGATTCACACCACCATTACTTACATTCATCAGAGCTGTTTCCAGAATGTCATCGATGGCAAAGTTGAAGAGGAATGGTGAGATTGGGCAACCCTGCCTAACCCCACTACTCGAATGGAACAATGGAGAGAGGTGGTTGTATGCCCTCACTCTGCCTGAGGTGTTTTTATATAGGGCTTTTAGGATGTTAATAAACTTCTCAGGCACACCCTTCTTCAATAGACAATCCCAGAGAACAGTTCTGTCCAACGAATCGAAGGCAGCCCTAATGTCAAGAAACACTACGATTGTTGGCCTTTGATAAGTATGGCGGTGTTCTAACATTTGGCGGAGGGTGAAGATATGATCAATACATCCTCGAGCAGAACGAAACCCAGCCTGCTCCTCGCGAGTCAATCTTTCTCGGGTTTTGAACAACCTACGAAGTATGACGGAAGCCAATAACTTGGACGCAATCGGAAGTAGACTTATCCCCCGATAGTTGTTACAGGAACGACGTGAACCCTTAATAAAGATAGGGACAACTATCGACTCATTCCATGACGTTGGCGCACTCTCTAGTTCCCAAACCTTTGTAAACAACGTCGTCAATTCCTTAGTCAAAAAGTCACCACCATCTTTAAAAAGAGCCGGAGGTAAGTCATCTGGGCCAGGTGATTTGTAACGCTTCAAGAGTTGGAGTTCCTTGCGGACTTCCTCCTCGTTTGGTGGATCAGTCGTCACCGGCCATGGAGGGCAGGACAGTCTGACCGATGTTGCCGGAGCAGCAGGCCAGTTGAACTGCCCTTCGAAAAATTCTGCCCACCGTCCAAGACGTCGATGAATGTTAGTGATTGGCATCCCATCATCCTCGCAGATTGTTTCACTCACACCAGACTTCTTGCTGCCAGTGGCTCGGATGAGCTGGAAGAGCTTCCGGTAATTACCAGATGCAGCTGCTGCTTCCAGCTCATTAGCACGCTTCGACCACCAGGCTTCTCGGTCCTTTCGCAAGCTTTGCCTAATTTTCTTACATAACATCCTTCGTTTATGGTCAAACTCACGGTCACCCGGAGTAGACCGACGGGCTTCAATGAGTTGTAAGGAACCAGAAGAAACCCAGTGCTTGAAAGCGGGACGTTTCGCAAACCCACAACTGACTGTTCCCGCCATTTTCATGGCGTCATGCAATTGCAACCGATGCTCATCTATACTTTTCGGTGGAGTGGTAGCTAGCCTAGAGGCTAGCTCGGTTCGATACTTATTTGCAACAGAAGTTGCAACCAGCTTGCTAACATCAATCTTTTGGTGGTGGTCACTTCGTTGTCCACTGAAAAGTAAGGCAAGATTGGCGCAGACCAAGGCATGGTCAGAGTCCAGATAGGTACTCCAAAAGGAGCGCCAGTCTTTTACACAACCACGCCAGCGGTAGCTGATCGCGATGTGATCAATCTGAGTCCAGGCTTGGGATGCAGAGGTAGGACGCCAGGTGGCACATCGGCGATGACTGTGCCGAAAGTTAGTGCTAGCCAGAAACAGGTTGTGGTCTGTGCACAGTTGCAGTAGACGGTCCCCGTTATCTGACCTGTGACCAACAAGTCCCCATCGGCCACCTAAACGACTCTCTTCTGTGCCTAGACGCCCGACGTGAGCATTCAAGTCTCCGGCTAGTACTACAATATCTGTCGAACGCACTTTCTGGAGAAGAACAGATAACTGGTGGTAAAATTCATCCTTGATTGCATCCGGGCTGCAATCTGTCGGGGCATAGGCGGAGATGACAAAAAGACATCGTTTCTCACGCCGATTTCTTCTCACTTTGATGGAACTTTCTAATCTAACAGCACATAACCGACTGTTAATGGGGATCCAATCGACTAGTGCTGCCTCAGCTCTAGCGCTTAGTGCGACACCAACGCCTGCAAGACCAGACGAAGATGCCACAGGGTCCCCGGATAAGCGCACGTAAAACAAGCTTTTTGAAGTTACAGATGTAGAGCGAATTTGTAGTACTTCGCTAGAGTCTTGAATACGGGTCTCGGATAGACAACAAACATCAATATTAAGACTTTCCAAAGACATAGCCAGCCCTATCTGTTGACCAACCTGCATAAGTGTGCGAACGTTGAAGGCAGCCAGTTTGAATGGCGCACGTGGTTTCAGGAAAACTGCTTCAGTACTCATATTCGATGGTAACATACAATTTTCAACCGGACAGTGACTCGAGAACGTTTAGATACAGTCGGATTTCCACCAAAGACGAGCCGCTGTATAAGTATAAAAGAAGATGAATAATGTGGAAAATAATAATAATAATAATAATAATAATAATAATAATAACGACAATAATAGTAATAATAATAATAGCATTAATAATGACAATAATAGTAATGATAATTATTTGAATCAATTGATTGTTTTTCGGAGCGATAAAAGTAGTTGCCAAAGACATAGAGTTCATCGTTTGTGTGTGGGCTGTGATACTGCCCGGGTGCCCAAACCGAAGCAGGTGGTTTTCTTAGGGGGCCACTCCCCGAGCCTTTGACCTAAAGGTCTAACCCACAAGGCAGTGGAGCATCGTAAGGAGATGCAATCCCATGGTAGCCGGTGACCAACGATTGGTTCATACGCCATTTTTTCCCGCAGGATACTGGAGGCCATGTGCACCATTGGTTTATTATCCGGTTAAAGCGCCGGACATTCGCTTTTCGTCCTCTCATTTCGTAAACAACACCCCCGCCACGAGAAGGCAATGAGTAGGACTTCCCTGGCAGAGGCTGTATACGCGCGGCCGTGTTAGAGTATTTCGAGAGGGAGAGCGGACTCACCCCACTCTCGGCCGTACCAGGGCCAAGTTGTTTTGGTACCATATTTGTATCTATTGATTTTTGAATGTAGTTTTCAGTACGTTTTACTTTAATATACCAGGTATTGATTTTTTAATTCTTCGCACACCGATAAATGTAAGGTTGTCGAGCCTGTTTGCTTTACCTGAGAGATAGTGCTTTCACTTGTTTTATTTGTAGAACGTCCTATCATTGCCTTATAGATTTCAAACACTGTTACTTCTTGAAGGTTCTGTTGTTTAGTTTATCTTTTATTGACAATAACTTTGTCCGACGTTGCTGCGTTTAAATCTTATCAGTTATCTATAACATCATCTACACTTTGAATAAAACCTGCTTCGTCAAAATTACAATCTGTTTCGCTTTCTTCCTCTATCATACTCATAACATCTGTGTTCAGTCAGTGGTCTTGAGTGCTGTTAGAGGTATGAGGGCGGTTATCACTTCCTGGTTGCCCACACTGTGGAAGGGTTCTTTTGGAGGTGCCTGAAGAGGGAATCGGATTAGAGGTGGTCTTAGTGACCTGAGAGCGTGACCGCAGTGCCCAAGGGAAAACTGCTTGAAGTCGGTCACACACGACCTTGTTATGGGTAATTTTTGCGTTAGCTCCGTACTTTTTGAGACCTTACCGCCGGAGACGGATATCCGTGGGATAAGGCGAGGTGTGCATTTTTAGGGTCGACCTTTTCTAACCCCACCCCTCCTTGTGGGAAGGCAGCATCGCTGTCATGCTGGTTGTCTGAAGGAAACACCTTACTGCTGTCACACCTCTGTACAGTCAGCAGTACGACTTCGCCTTCGGACCTTGGGTTTGTTGCTTTTAGTCTTACCGCTCTTCAAGTGACCTGTCTGACATGGTAGGACCTTGAGGAACAGTTGTTCCAGCCAGTATAGCTCGGTTGCTTCATCACGATAGGCAAGCCCGACCACCACGTCAAGGTAGCAACAACGGTCGGGACATCTGTGTTATTCATTTATGTTGTCTGTTTTGTAGAACTGAGTTATTTGTACTTATTAATCACTAAAAAAAGCAGATATGATAAGCATCTACGAATAAAACAATGAGAATATAAGACATAAGTAAAAGGGGGAATGCAGTAATAATAATAATAATAATAATAATAATAATAATAATAATAATAATAGCAGCTTAAATCATAACTATGCGTACAAAAGAAGTACGTCTTATCGTTATCGTTACCTTGGCCTTAATTATTCTGATTATCCTATTTACTACAGTCGTTTATTACTGATCTGATTTCTGTGGTTATAAATTTAAGGATTCAATGCTTATATTTGTCAGTATACATGATATATTCAGTTAACATATTTGGTGTACTAGACCTGATATCGGTATGGGTTAGATAAACTCGTTTGATTTAGTTTATTTTTTAAATCATTCGTGTATATCGATCTCCGTAGCAAACTAAACTTACACGAATTAGGTTTATGGATTTGGTTGTAGTTTATTTTTATATGTTTTGGTGTTCAGTTAGTGAAATCAGTGTTTTGTGATCACTAAGTAAATTCCTACCTAGACAGGCGTCCCCACTTTCTTCTATGGTGAAGAGTCTCGTATCGATCATTTTCAAGCAATCACAGACTATTTATCAACAATATGGTTTCTTTATCACCTTAAATGGAGCACAAAATGAAGGTTTAAGCGGCATAACATGAATTCTTTTACTTCATGAGATCCTCGTCAGCTGCTTAGAGCTTGTAATATTAAAATCCTAATTACAAAATTGATTGGAAATTATTACACAACTGTACTTAGTTGAAAGTTGCTTTGAACACACATCAGCATGGTATCGTGTTGTATGTCCTTGTTATATTAAGTGATGATTATGATTTCTAAGTATTACAGGTTGTAGGCAACTGACGAGAACCTAACGAATTGAAACTAATTCATGTTATTCTACATAAATATTTGTATTTGTCAATGATAAATATGATACACTACGTTTTTCATAACATTTAGTAGTGCAGGATTTCGAAAGGGTTGTTGCTGTTTATTTTACTTTCTATCTTTCAATAGTCACTTCATGCGCTTACAAAATAGTGACTCGAAATAATCCTACTGTGTGTTATAACGGTATAACCATACATCAATGTTTTGCACTGTTCTGTATCATTTTTTACCAGACATTCTGTTTTGTCAGTTCGAGGAATGTGGCAAAACTACCGAGTGTGTGCGTTCATTCAACATTAATAAATCAAGAAATTCACTCTAGTGTTGCAGCTCCAGGTTAGCAATAATTGTTTAATTTGATCATTTTATTCTATTTTATTATTTAATTTGTCTAATTTCCTTGCGGTTAGTATGGAAATGGGACGCAACTGGGACGAAATGATAGCTTCATAGTAGGTAGTACAATAGGAAATTTCTCTTCAGATACAGATCACCAGATTGTATCCCACCTAGACGTAAATGACTTTTAGAAGATCATTTCCTAAATAGATATATCTACTACTTTCATTACCACTAGAGTTGACTAAAAGTGCAAAATGGATGTTTTGTGTTTATAAACTAGCCATTATTTAACTGGGGATATTATTCAATATCAATTGAATGTGATATATTATCATCGACTATCTATGGTAATTGTAATATGCTCAGATTTATAATGTATAGGAGCTAACCATTTAATAAAAATAAACGTTTGACCCACACAGATTGAAAAGTTTGCCGTCATTTAAATGTTTTTAATATTCTTCCCTAAAATGTCTTGCTTTCAGCCACTGTGGATTATAACAGTTTTCTATATCTAAAAGGATAACTTTGTCTTTAGTGTAATACTACAAGGAGTTGTTCGTAGTAGTTTTAACATTATTTGTTAACGTTTTGTCATTCCAATAAACCCAGTGAAAAGCGAGTGGTTTATGAGGTTTTCTCCAAAAATGATAAACTATGAATCGCTTAGTAGTTCTTTCCCAGATCTCCCTATTTATCAGTCGAGAAATCACTACATAATAAGCTACATAATTGACTTTGTAACCGTAATCCTCAAACAGAACTGCATACTTTGATTATTTTTCATGCATTAAATTTGGTATGATGAAGTCTCGCCAGGCAGTCAAAATAATCATGGGTTGCGGAAAGGTACAGGCGTTTAAATACTGTTTTGTGACGGTATGTTTGATACCTTGTTTAGGCGACTAATTAAAGTATTCGCAGTTCGAGTTTGAACCCCCTAACGGTTCGTAGCCAAATATTTTTTGTGAAGGTTAGTACTCAAGACTGAAGTGGGAGGATAGAACGTTTCGGTTTTACCATACACGTCATTGTTAGTTGTTTCGTTTCACACATATGTTCTTTCCATTTGTCAACTGTAGATGTAAGTTACTGTGGTGCAATACCTTATCCTCGTTCCCAACCACCCAGAAAATCGGGGGATGTTTCACAAGTTGTAAGTTTTCTGCTTATTCTGCCTTTAAATATCTTTTACTTGGTCGACTACATTGTAGTGTTATTTATGCCAGATGCTGTAAAACCCTAATGTTATCATTTTTTATTCAAGCAACTACACGATTCTATTTCTGTAACCAACGTTCCTAACCTAGAGGTTAGTAAGTGTTCCATCTAATAAAACTTTAATATTTGACTAGAACTATCACGTCAAGGTGGCAGATATCGGTGGGTATTCGATATTCAAACAAACTCAAAGCTGTCAGTTTCAGTCATATGCATCCAACTTGTGTCTTTCCCTAGATCATGAGCCCTAGTATTCCTTCATTCATAATCCCTTTTCATTATATCATTTCGGTTCATATTCTAAATGCTTAATCTTTCCTATTACCGTTACTACTACGTTGTTTTGGTTCCACCATTTATCTTATTAGTTTTATCTGGTTGTGCTAATTCAGTATGGCAACTTGGGCTAATGTGGCTTTGTCCCAGGGTCCACATTGATTATGAATGTCTAGCTAACACTATAAATGCCAATGGTCTTATCAGATTGCATCCATCAGAACCTCTTCGGTTCGTTTTTTATCACTAAAAGAGATACAGAGAAGCATTTTATCGGAACACTCGTGACCAGGCTTGGGTTTACGTTGTGTTATTATCTATTGTAGCTACATCAAGTAGTTTTAACCTCGACTGTCTATTCTCTTAGATATACTACTAACGACTGCACTAACTTCGTCTGGTTTTTTAGTTGTTTATCTGTTAACCAGATAAATCACTACCCGGGAGTATTTTATCGATACAATCCTGTTTGTTAGCTGTACTAAGTCCCGTCTCCGGAAACCCCTAGATTAACAACGTGAAAGTTTACATCCCTTTTTCGCCTAGTGGCTGTCGAAGTGTCATCGCAAGTACAGACTTTGGTTGTTAGGTATTTATTGAACTACACCATTTGTGGAGCAGTCAGGAAACTAATGGGAACAAATCTTAAATAGCATATGTACTACACAGTTCTTGTAGCATCACTAACTTTGGAGAAAAATCCTATTTATAGGTGAATCACAAGAAAGAAATTTCATCCTGATTGTAACTAGGTCACAGGTTCAAATTCTGCCAGACATTTCAATTTGATGATTCGTCTATAAATAAAATTTATATACAATAGTTTCCTTGTCTAATAGCAATTAGCTCCGTTATTAAAAGCGTCTTTAGATTTTTTAAAATTTCTCTAACCCCCTTAATATTATGTTTTTGAGGATGTTGCTGACTTAGTAAATGAATGATTTAAATTTCCAAAGTTGTTGAACTGGGGTTGAGTTGGATTTGGTCAACCTTTTTAGAAATTTTACTATCTAGCTATTTTCTTTGGTTTTGTTTTAGCCCGTCAGTACACTATCTTCTTTTGTCAACGAAACCAATCATTTAGAAGAATCCTGTCTTGATATAGCTAGTAAGTTGAGATTTGTTAATTGACTTCTACTTATGCGAAATATATGTCGATGTTAAGGTGTTGTAAGTGGGTTATGTCGCGTACATTTATTTGATAATTTATTTTATCAAAAACCATTCCAATCATGTGTAATAATATACCCAATAAAAATAATTTAAATAACTGTTAATGAGTGGAAAATCAACACTCAAGTAGTCGCCTTATCATGGAAAACAGTTATTATTTTCAACAGGTAAGGCACATTTAGACATTGCTCCTATGTCACAGTCCACATGCGATAAGTTGTGCTATCGACACGTCTATATTGTCTTCCTAGCCTGTTATAGTAACTACAATCATTTCTACACGTCAACTGCAACACTAGAGAGAAAGAAAGCACGAATTGCGAGTAAGAGCCGTACTTCAAGGTTATTTTATGTAAAGGAAAACGAGGGTATTTATAGTTACATGCAACCTTGTGCTCTGAAAATTCCCTAAAGCATACTAAATACAGTAGCAGTATCGGTCATTATTTCAATCAAAACAGTGATACATGATTCTGCATTTTTAGATATTTCTGTAAAGCTTTAATTCAGCGCTGATTGGACGAAACACTTCTTGGAGTTTCCAGGCCTCTAGAGATTTTGACGAGGGATATTTTAGAACTTCCCCAACAATATGTATAGTGTAATATAAGCCTATCATGTTCTTTTCATCGTCCCCACTTTTTAATAACTCAAACTCAATTTCTTTTTTGAAAGGAAGGAAGCCATTTCAAAACACATCCAGGATGTAACGTCGAATAAAATGTATGTTATGCGTGATTTTAAACTTAGTTCCTTCGTTTACCCGAATATAGGTTATCTCAATTAGGACAAAACACGCGTTCTGAATTCCACTACTCGCTATTATCTCTTTCACCAAATTAATCCACAGTTGGTGTTGTGCTATCTGAGCCGGATATTTTGACCATGAAGCTTTGGTTGTTCTTCTGAACAACACTATCTACTTCAAAGGCAATTGAACAGTTAGGATTGTCCCACCATCGACTAACAACTTGTTCTGCTGACCTTGAATTGAATGAGCTATGATCCATTGTTTACCTTTGCACTTTTTTGCACTTTTTCTAAGATAACCTTTGTTTATTCATGCCATTTACATGAAATTTTTCAAGAAAATGTTTTATCTGTTGATTTTCCTTTAAATTCTTATGATTTATTAGATATATTTACATTTTCTTCAGATCTAAAAAATGCTCCTGATAAGTCGATCCAGCAGCATGAGCTATCTCCACCTAAAAATTTATTCCATTGTGATTACTGTACTTTTACGTGAGTAAATTTAATTTGTTCTGTCAGAAAATTATTCAACCTTTTTTAAAACGAAAATTCTCGTTTATTTTGTGTTTTCATCATAGATATACACTCTAGGATTTTGGGATGCAAGTACATCCAACTGAGTCCCGAATAGGATAGAATTCGCGTCCTGTATTATACTGCTAACCATCATCCATCTCTGCTTAATTTGTCTAGTTTGGCCCTTATTTTTCATGAAAATATCTAAACTAGTCAGTATATGATGTTGTTCGACAAGTTATTACGCCTATAGATATCACATGGTTATGATCATTTGACTTCGTCTTCTGATTGCATTGTCTGCAAATAGGTTGTTCGGAATAGTAGTTATATAAATTAAATTGTATGGCATCTATGTGTTTATATAAGAGTTTGTCTTGTTTCTAAAATAAATTTATGATTTTTTTTATTGAACTTGAACTTTCGTCAGAAAATAATTTCCATTAGCTTAAATACTTAACACGTTACATCCAATAATTGTTCATTTTTTAGTGCCTAAAATGTTATTTAACCAAAGTATTGGTGGGGTATATACATCTATTCCGTATTTTGAACATTTTGTCATTTTATGTTTAGTTCGCTCTCTCTTTCACTTGTTTCTTGTGGTATTTTTGCATTTACCCTTCAGCTCTTATTATTACTACCATTGTCTGCATTCTCTTTACGCTTTTCTCTTGTTGCTTTCAATTTGCTGTGTCGAGATTAAGTGGAACAATGTAGATCGATAGTTACTTATCCCATGCCTTAAGCTGTATATATTTGTTAGTCTTATATGCTTTCTGATTGTAACTAATGCCTTTAGCTTAAATCTTTGTATTGCATTAATAAGTGGTATTATCAACTGCATGTACTAACACTATACTAATGGTCTTCTAGTTGATACATTTTAGTTTCATATATTTAATTTAATCTAATGTTTAGGAGTCATATGCAAATATGTAAATTGGAAATGAATCACATATTAGACCTATTTATAATTTTTTCATATCTGATTCGCAATCTTCAATGTAGTACAATGATTTCTTCTTGTACTTTCAGATACCTTTTGTCTTTAATTTAGTTGTTGTATTCAATAATTTAATATTCAAATTGTTTCGTTGAAGTATTATCATTTACATGTTAGGTAAATTGTTGATTTTATTTTATCTGTTGCTACATTTGAAAGTGCTTGTTTAAGGACGATTAATGATATAACTCAGCAAATAAGTTCTATTTTATCTATTTATTTATTTCAACACATAAATATTGGTACAAGAGGGCACCAAATATATATGCGTCACACCATATTTGTGTGTGTGTGGGCTGTGATTCTGCCCGGGCGCCCAGACCGAAACAGGTGGTTTTCTTAGGGGACCACACCCCGAGCCTTTGACCTAAAGGTCTGACCCACAAGGCAGTGGAGCATCGTGATGAGATGCATTCCCATGGTAGCTGGTGACCAAAGATTGGTTCATACGCCATTTTTTCCCGCAGGATACTGGAGCCCATGTGCACCATTGGTTTGTGATCCGGTTAAAGCGCCGGACATTCGCTTTTCGTCCTCTCATTTTCGTAAACAACACTCCCGCCACGAGAAGGCAATGAGTAGGACTTCCCTGGCAGAGGCTGTATACGCATGGCCATGTGAGAGGATTTCGAGAGAGGGGGGCGGGCCCAGCCCACTGTCGGTCATACCAGAGCATTTGGGGGCTGTTGTAATAATTTAATTTTATGATATTATAAATTATATTAATATACTAAGTTGTTAACTAGTGCTAAGTAAAATTCAATTTAAATTGTTTAAAGTTTGACTGTTATTTGGCGTAAATAAAACTTACACAAAATTAATATCTTTTGATATATTTATTTGAGATTTGTTCACTACATAATAAATTATCATCTATTATCTTTGCCTTCGTCCTTATATCGAGCCATTTTAGTTTTTGTTCATTTAATTAAATTAATCAAAAAAAGCCTAATTTCTTGAATTCATTCAAATATTATGGTGACACAAACTTCGTAACTGGAGAAAATTATTGTTTAAATAACTGTCTGACTTACTATAAGTAATATTTTCTGTAAATTAATTCACTTAACCTTGATAGCTTTTTCATATATATGATTGTATTTGTAAACATGCTTGCATCTTCTCTTGAAGGTTATTTTGCTTATCATATTTAATGTTCATCAAAAGAATTCCTTCACTGTAAAAATCGTAAGTGCAGTTCGTTTTCTTTAAACTTGGTGAATTATAGTTGACTGGATAGAACAATGCGTAATAGTAATTCAATGTCTGTTGTTTCAAATTGCAGCAAATAATCGTTTCTTGTCTGTTTCAGTGTTTTTAATGCAAAATAATTTGTGTATCTTAATTATCTATCAAGGTCTTCGAATTCCGATCGTCTTTTTCGACATATAAATTCACGGCATTTATTATCGCTTGAGCATGATAAGGTAAAACCTTCATGCCTTCAAGTTCATCCGACATCTTTATCTGATATTTCGAATCAAATTATTATCACATCTGATTATTCTTCGTCATCGTCATCTTCGTTTTCGATTACTAATTCCACTTCGTCGTTACCGGTTACTGATTCTCTTTCTTCAAACGTATTTGAAACAACAGTATCTAGTAAGTTCACGGTTTAGTTATTCCCTACTCAGCAAATGTATCAATATCTATTTGATAAAAATAGGTCTTTGTTAAAGTAATTTTATTAAAATTATGTGCAACGCAAAAATCAACCTTAAAATTCACGTGCTTCTAATTAGCATTGGCTTAGTGGTTAAGGTGTTTGATTTTCAGCCACGAATTCCCACGTTATACTCCACTCCACCTACTTCAATTTAAGCAATCTAGTAGTATAATTAGCCCTCACATTTAGGGCGCGGCTCATACATAAGTACCTGTTAAATGAGTTAATTAAAATTAATCAAAATTAAATCTTATTGATCAGTAAAGTGCACTCTTTCAAAATCATGAATTCATCTTTAAAAACAAGTATTGAAATTTAGTTATGTATAATGTTGTTACGTAGCTTATTTGTTTTATAGTGTTTGCAGTTTTTTTTATTATATTGAAGTAGATTATTTTCTCTATAAAGACCAGTAAATGGGTCATAAACATTTTTACAAATAATTCCACATAGTTATCGCGATATTTGTGTTGGGCCACTATAAATAAAAGTCATGCAAATGGTATTCCCGAATTTTCCAAGGAATCTATTTTACTTTTAATCTGTTATTCAGTACATCAGTAATTATATTTGTTGGTTGACAGTTTAGTTTCAACAAAAGAATGAGGAATGAGTTCTTGTTAATTCATGTACCGAACATAATCGCTATCAGGAGTAAGTGTTTTGTGTAATCTTTTACATCTTTTCATTTTCACTGCATGATTTCACAAAAAATCTTTCACTAATCCTAAGTACTTTAAGCTCTTTACAAGGGTGAGATCCATCAGGCTATTCGCGAGATAGGAACCAATTAGCATTAACTTCGAAATTTCGCTCTAAAACCCTGAAGATAGTGTCTTTTTGTTGATTGATTCGAGAGCATAATATAGTTACTCTATTATTATCAATGATGATCATATTTTTGTTGTGCTAGTGATCATAGTAAATTAGGTCCCATGCCCAATCTAATATATCCAATTTTGTTCCACTGATTTTTGGCAGATTCATTTTAATTTAAATGCTTCACTAAATTAATAAACGGTTTATCACACTGTTTTTTTATCGGAATTGTATTACAAGCAGGTTACATTCTCCTCACTTTACATCTCTTCAATTTCTGAATTTGCATTGAACTTGACAGAACTAAGGACAATGTTTTTATACCAGAATAACATCTAAACCATATAGAGTAGAAAAAATGTTTTCCTAAGAATTATGGTAGAAACTTATGCTAAATATATTGTCAGCTGAGAGAATAACTTTATTGTCTCCTGTGGTAATCTAGTGGTTATAAATGATTCAGTTGGTTTATCTCAGTCATTGTGTTATCTGAGCTTTCTGAAGTTAATTGGTTGGAAGTCGAACCATCTAACATTACCATAACTCCAACTATTTTTTCCACGATCTCATAGGAGTTAGGGTTTTATTCATAACAAATCAACTACAGTCTAGCAATCACTTTCATAATAATTGTTATTGAAATGAAATTGAGAACATCGAAAGGCTCTATCTGAGTCACATTTATCTCATCTTATTCACTGTAGTTCAATATTTGTTATTTACATCCCAATTAATTTATGACTTCTTCTAGTGACGTGAATATTTCTGATGGTATGCCTTCAGTGATGAATTTCATGTGTTTCAGATACTTTTAAATTGTTTGAGCTGTGATAATAGTTGTTTTCCAATCATGTTAAATTCTAAGTTCAATCGATATTAAAGTTTTACAAATTTAGTAGCTTGTTCTTTTAGAACCCACAATTTCGTAACAGTGAAGAAAATAGATGAAGGTAATCTCAGCTACTTTATTCATGTATTAAAATAATTTTGTTATTCCTCTCTCATATTTATTAATTTTCATTGAATATCTAAGTGAATGATTGACTTTCTAGTAGTAATATAAATTCGCTTTCGTAGATCCTACTCTAGCGTACAAGTTAATGCTACACTGTTTTTATAGGCCGTTATGTATGTTTTCTCTATTTTATCAAACTGATACCTCTATTAAGCACCTATTTGTATAATCTGAAATATTTGATATACAAATCAGTCTTCCATGGACAACAATAAAGTTTGTATATTGCCGAAAAGTTTACTCCTGGATCTAATTTGTTTTCAGCATTGTATTTTCGTTTCTTGTTATTCATCAGCACCCATAAGGTTTTGTTATACTAACTCAATATGTTTGATAAAAGAAAAGGAATAAGTAAATGAATCTAAGATATAAGTTACTTTTCACACTTTGTTTAAGTGCATAATTATGAATATGTTTCTTTTTTATCGGTCGTCAGGGGGATAACTGATCTGTGTGGATAACGATGGTTTGTAACGATTATGAAAGACCTCAGATTTCACGGGAATAATATTATCGCTGTACATGTTTTGATGTCTACGATCGATAATAATAATAATACTTATTACTATTATTATTATTAGTAGTAGTACAGAAATATATTCTTACCCTTGTTTTTGTTCAAAATGTATTAGGTTTAGGTTTTCCTCCAGTTTGCAACTTAGGTTACCTATTCCGCGCTATCTTACATAATATTCTCTGTAAAGTTATTTGATTTCCGAAAAAACTGTTATGTTCTATGTCCACATAAGTGAATAAAGATGTGTTTCATAGCTATGGAATGTGACTATATTAAACTTAGTGTTTTATTTTTCTGTGAAATTTGATCTAGATACTCCTTCGACTTTTACAACTCACGATAATAATAACTATAGGTCTTGTAATCTACTTCCATCCCAATCGTTCCCAAATATACCGGTTACAGTTTGGTAAGTTGATATTGGTCTATTTTCGGAAAAAGAAGAATGACTTCTTAATAATTATATATATTACGTAAATGAAAAGTAGAATGTTTTAATGCTATATAATAGTTCGTTTCCTGTCGTGCGAATAGCATTTTTCGCAAAAGTATAATACTACTTATGATATGTCAGGGACTGTTGTTAGGTTAAATCGTTTAAATACATAGAATTACTTTCGTATAATGAATGATTTTTAATGACATTTAATTGTGAATACAGAATCAGTGTAGTATATTTATATGTCTAGTGAAATGCTTTTTTAGTTTTCTTTAATTTGACTATTCTGCTATGTAGTGGGCTTAGTGTATACAATATCTAACAGGACAGATGAGTGTAAATAAGCTTGTTTAAACTAGTAAGAGGAATCTAGGTGTAGATTGTAACACGTGATGAAGTATACGTGACCAGAGAAATATCGGGCTATTTGTGCAGAGATACAAGCATTTTGTTACTGATCGAAACGACATCGTCTATTGAATAAGCTAATTAAAGTGCTTAATGAAGTTAAAAGCGTACAAACTTAGATATGGATGAAGATGCTATAAACCACCCTACTGTCTGAACTGAATAACTCACTGAAGAAACGCTAGTTAGCTATGCAAAAATTCTTCTCCGATGATCGATTGAGAAGGCGAAATTCAAACAGCTGTACTTGCTTCTATAGATTTATATGACTAGACCTGTGAATAACTGGACCACAACTCAGTATTACTATGCAGGTGCAATATATGCAAAAATAAGGCATTGAAAATACACAATTGGAATACTACAGACATATATATCGGATGGCAGAAATTAATAGATAAATTGAATGTTCGCAGTTAGTAACTAATCATTCAGAATTAAGCGTCCGGAGATCTCCGAAAGATTGCTTAAAAAGTTTGTCAAATTTTATGCGTCTTTTGCACTGGAGTGATTGTTGATGCCAAATACTTCGAATATGTAAGCATCAATTATTTTTCACGAAGAAGCAAATTTAATATATTGACAAAACTTAGTACCTAATTTATAAAATAACTTATTTGGTGAATTTTATCTAGTTTATTTGTAATTGTTAGTCAGGCCTTAATTTCTATAAGTTTAATTGATTTCTTACTTCTAGTATAAATAAATCTACTTGTAAAAATTCTTCACACAATACTCTATCAAAGTCGTCAAGTCGTCGAAAACAAAGTTTTCCATTCAAGATGCCGTCTGGTTCAGACCTAATCCAATTGCCTGTTGTTTATTCAAATAATCGTTTTTGTGATTTGCCACTTCAGAGCGTTGAATTATCAGTGAATAATAAAGGAAGTACACTTCTAAATGAATCTTCGGGTTCATCCTATGCGTCTGGTAGTACATTAGATGATACCAGTGATGAAAAAGATTCAGTATTTTTAGGATTTACTCATATGGGATCATCACGGAAAAGGTTAGCTATTGATAGTGTGTTTGATATATTTCATTGAGAATGTTTATGAATTCATATGTATATTTTCTTATTTAACATATTTATTTATATTTTGCTTTAGATTTTTTTTTGTTAACTGTTTACATGACGCTATACTTTACAGAACGTGGCATATTTATAATCTTTAATCTATTGTATGCCCGTTAAATCTAAACGTGCACAGTTAAAGTTGTAGATTGTTTTACCTGCTCGGTATACATTTAGTTGTACATCTAATGAAGATCCCTTTAAGTCACAAACCTGAATTCGAGGTGTATAAATGATTAATGTTAGTGCATTTATTTTTTAACAGTAAAAATTTTTTAATGTACTTAACATGTAAGGAATCAACTAAAAAAACTTATACAAACAATTTATAATTAGTTAAATAAACAATTAACAGTATTCAAATGCTTGCTATTTTAATCATTTTTTATAGACATAGACTATTTCGGTATTCTTATCATACTTTGCTAAATATTTACAATATTTACTGAGATTTTTCTCAACAAAGAGTGTATTGTGTAGTAATGTAGATGTTTAAGATCAACTCCTTAAGAGAGTATAAGCTATTAGTCCGAAAATTTATATATTTATCATCCGGTTAATCTCCTTTTTACTGATTCATAAACACCTAAATAATAGTTGACTGACTATCTGATAAAAGCCAGTATACATGGGTTATACCACTTGTTATTAATAGATAAAAAGAGTATAACAAAGAAGAAAAGGGACACTCAAGGGCTGAGAAAATTCCAGGAGGGAAGACAACTTTTTTTTTGTTTATTAGATATGTACAATTCCATGTATATAGTAACCTATAACAAGCTAAGTAACGTAACATACTGAATAATAGTTATGTGGATTGTGTTCAAGTATTTCTAAGCTTTAATAACTATTGTTTGTATAAAGAATTTATGTGCTTCACCGATAGTTAGAAAATGATAAAGATTAACTTCTAGTTTTCATGTCTCAGTCTTGTTTTATAATGTTCTTTTCTTATAGGCTACATTCTCCGGAGGGTTCAGAAACAAGTTTATTCCACTCATCGAGTCAACAAAAAAATAGACATCGAAAGAATCGTATTACAAGTAATCGCCATAATGTATGTCTTTTCCCTTTTTTTCTATTTTCTTGAATGATATTTGTGTCGATAACTTGTTACCTACGTTGTGTTTATTGCCGTCTACTGCCAAAAATAGAATATAAACTGATATTCCACTTCAGTACAGAGTATTGATTGATGGTCGGTCCGTCATAATCTATGTTAGAGCCTGATATAAGTGTACGTTAGCCCAAGTTTCTACACTACGTTGGCACGACGAGATAAAGTTAACATGATAAATAGTAGTCGGTTTGAAACAATGTGGTAGCAATCATCATAAGAAAGATTAAATATTAACAGCCTAGGAGCTTAATTGGAGTGCCCAGAGAGACGGCTGCTTGAAGCCAGTCACACACGGTCTTTATGTGGGTGGTTTTACACGTATAAACTCCGTGCTTTCAAACCCTTAACTCTTGGGACCAAAACCAAATTAGCTCACCTGATATGGTAGGACCTAAATGAACAAGTGTTCCAGTCAATATAGCTCAGTTAGATCATCACGATAGGTTAGCTCAACCATCACTTCAAGATGGGAGCTACTGTCGGGTATTCAATGACAAAAATAATATATTTGTCAAATGTTGGCGGGATTCAATTTCAATTATTGCAGACCACAATGTTGTACTTGTTGAGATTTTTGTTGGAGAAGTGCAATTACGAATTATGATAATTAAACCAACATCGATTAGATTGAAATCCTGTTACAGTAAGTTATTATTCAGTGGTAACCCTAATCAGGGGATTTCAATACATTTTTACCATGATCCATGTTACCGGGATAAATACTCAGGTTGAAATATTCTAATCATTTTTTATTGATATATAATCGAAAAACCTGTTGTATTTCGTGTTGAGTACACTGGGTCAACATGGAAAAGCCTGGTATTTTCACTCTAGTAAATGGGCTAGGAAAAAGAAGTGAATATAAGCAGTTTTGTTTGAGATATTAAAGTCGGAATAATGAAATCATTAGCACAGTACACGAACGTATTAGATTTTGAATGCCAAAAACTTCAAATCAACCAACTTATTAATTATCTACATTTAATTTTTTTTTCAATTATATCGTTTTTCATACATGAATATTTTTGACCGTGATCATTATATAAAGTCTAATTATGCTGATTGTGGGGATTAGTTATGAAATGTTGTTTATTATTTTTAGCAAATGATTCCATAATTGTTAGAGTTATTATTGCTATTATTGCCCTGCTAAAAATCTTAAAAGTAGATATCAGAACTCATTTTATAGATTCAGTTATGTTTCAATGTAATATTTATAGGCGATTCCCTTTTATATTATTTTGTTAAATATTTGACAATGTATACGACGTCGGATAAGTGTTCAAAAAAACCATTCTAATTAATTTAAGGAAATTTCAGTCAGAGTATATTAGCGTTTGAACTTGATTGCTAAATCTCTACAGTCTAAAATGATATGCTTAATTGGTGTGTGTCTCTTTTCACGATATCTTTATGCATCAGCAAGAAATGCAAGCCACTAATTATAGGGTTTTGTGAAATGTATAAAATGATTTTCTTATCTCTTTTTTGTATTGTAGATTTTCTATAAAGTGTATTTATAAGTATTTATAAGAAAACTTTCCTATATACTTTTTGTAGGTCACGTCATTAGTTGATCGTGGAAAGTCAATCAATTTTTCATCCTACATGACAATTTCAAAGCAAGAAACCAAAAGATATTTTACTAGTAAAGAGTCTACTCTTCTACCAGTAAACTCCTCTTTTCCACTACGTGATATATCAGTTACATTGGAACGTTTAAATGATATTCCGGAATACAGTCATACTGATTCAGATTCATCTATTATAAATATAAGTTCCACCTCATCCGAATATTCTTACCAAGATACCCAACGTTTGACACCAGATAAAATTGAAAACCCTGAATTAGAAAAACAAAGAATGAAAGATGGGTTTTCTCTTTCTTATGATAATTTCAAAAGTGGCGAACAAGGTACTCTGTCACATAAACATAACGAATTAAATGAAGACTCTGAGCAAATTAAGAAACATCCATACTTAAATGAGCTTCCAGTCGCCGTAGATTCTAATCAAATTGAGATGCTTAAAATGTCCAATAATCGTCGCAGACCATCTGGTGCGAAAAAATACTCTAAACAGCTTGAAATTCCTGACGAGTTTTTAACTTTGCAGTCTCGAAGTGAAATGGAAGCTGATGAACTTCAAGTGGATATTTTGACAGGAGAAATATTTGTCAAGAACATACCTTTGCGGTCTCTAGTTACAGGTTTGAAGCGTCCACGATTTTACCAGTTAGAACTGGATTATAAAGTAAGATTTTTTAGATCCAGAGGTCATCATTTTGTAGCTAGTTACTTCCAAATAATTTATAGATTACGTTGTTTTTATTCTTTTCCGTTGCTTATTGTGAATATTTTTCATACTATCCTGAGGCTCGTTAATAATCATCTTGTTTGAAAACTACTAGCATTTCTGAAGGGGTTAGGGGTTAGACCCACTCACTGTTAAGAAGCAACGTTTGGAGATATTTTTGAATACTTATTCAGAGTTTCACTTTCAAATAGCTTCACATTATTTCATCACATTAAATATATCCCCAGTATCTACTGTCTTGTTTTTATTCCTGGACGTGCTTATTAATCTACACGTATTAATTATGGCATTGAGAAATATACTGGATCATATACTTGAGTTTTATTTTCTGATGTTATTTTTAACGTAGCGTAACCAGAGAAACATCCAGTTATCCATGACCCTTCTCCCTAGTCGGAACATATATGAAAACATCTTATGCTTTACTTAATCTAGTGAAATGATTAATATTTGTTTATCGCAAGACTTCATATGATAGCGGATGCCAAAATCAAATCCACAATACATTTGACTAATTTACTCATAAATTTATTTGACTAACCGTTTGTCGATTTTTCTCTAGCGCATGTATATTTTATAGTCATATAAGTAACTTGTTGATGATATTATTTCATCTTTTAATAGAAATATTTACCTCGAGGTGGTCGTAGTCAACCTTTTAGAAATTCCAAAGGTCAGCATCCTTTTTCAAATAATTCAAAAAATGTACACAAAGTTAACAGTGTAATTACAACAGCTAACAAACGATCAAACAAGGAAAAAAAGTAATCACTAAAGCTAATCCAAATAAATTTAATAATGCTCAAATATATTGTAATGTCTTATCATAACATTATTTATTCAGTTGTCATAATTTTTCTTTTTCCATCCTTCATTAATTAACAACTCATTCTGTAAATAATAATAATAACAAGAAGAAGAAGAACATTGTCACCGATGATAACACTTAATAATTCTATAATATATTTCTAATGTGTCTATAATTTCAGGTTAATTTATATGTATGTGTAAGCATTTAATTGTGTTCTTGTTTCGTATTTTTGTATACTTTTTTATTTACTAATCCTATTAAGATTTCCATCTATATGTATATATATCCTAAATCCTTTTTTTGTTTACTTACTTTGTATATTCGTTGTATAAATTCAACAACAACAACAACAACAAAAATGTAGTCGTTTATTCTAAGTTTTATTCAGTTCATTTATTATATTATATTAAAGTAACTAAAAATTACGTTGATTACACTGATTTTTATGAGTTTTCCTTTTTACAAATTTTTTAAAAAAAAACTTTAAATAATCAGAGTTCATCGACAAATGAATTGAGCTTCGATCTTTTAGTCTTTCAAAGTTAACTATTTATCACCATAGAAATAAGATAATAAATAATTTTATAGTTGATTTTTAGAAAATTAATTGAATATTAAAGAGTATTAGATGGATATTTTACGTCTATCTTAGATTTTTTTCAGGAAATACATTAAACTCAAACTGTTCAAATTACCTCCCCTCCCTCCTTACTTTAGAAGAGATGAGAGTAAACTTTATAATTTAAACTTCAGTTGTCATGATTTTACACTTGGTGTTAAAAATTATTTCTCATTAATTAATTAAATAGCTCACATCGTTTCATTTAAGTTTATGTTATTTCTTGTGTTATATGGTTTAAATTAATAAAATTGAATATGGCTATAAATTAACTGAAGACGAAAGCTTGTATCATCCTCATTACAAGTAGGTTATATAAGCGGATTATGAGTGCTTCAAAAATTTCAAGATAAAATTTGCTAGTATACCTAATTGCAGTTGTATATCCTACTATATTTAACATAAATTCTTCATCTTTGTTGTACTCTATACTCTATGAAAAGCCCTGATTTCTGAAACAATTCACAGTAGTCAAAGCGAATGATTTTAAACACATTCATTATTCTAATTCATAACTCGTAATCATACGGGTAGTACGTATAACAACAGTGCGCAATAACCCGTAGTTTTTGATTACCTTCATAATAAATACGTATTTTATATAAAACTACATAGTATCTCTAGAATTAATTATTTACTGTTTTAGAGCGATTTTATCGGTGGTGACCTATGTAAAGATTTAGGATGCTTATTTTTCTGCTGCGCGTATACTGCAGCAAACCTTCCTGTTTTAAAATTTTGTTAATTCAAAAACCTGTAGGGAAACAGAACATTTATTGGAATATCTGCACTTTAGTTTATTCTTTAAAGATGGAACTATATTGAAAATCATTCAAGGTGTGATGGAAGAAAAAATTAAGTTGTACCAGCTAAGCTACGTACAGAACTCTCGTAATGAATGATAGCTCATGCTGACTACTAAAAATATGAACACTTTTAATAATTAAAATCTGGATATTTGTCAACAAGGAATTTGTTACAGTGTTGGATAGTTTAGAATTTCTTACTGTGATAAAACTTATAGTACTAAGTAACGCAATTACTCTCGTATAAGACTGATGAGATGAAAGCTTAAAATTAAAACTGTTACATACTACAATTCAATCAGATCACTGATAATTCTTTGAAAATACAAATAACCTATCAAGTAATAACTACTGGAACTTTTGCTCTTTACTTTTCTTTCTCATCTCTTACTAACATTACCGATTTATATTTGTAATTTTTATGACTTAACTACTCTGACAATATCATGAACTAAGAATCTTGGTACACTGCTCGAAGACTGGGCTTCAAACGATGTGTCTATCCAAATTAGTTAATTCTAAAGTAAAGAAGGTTTTTCCACTATCTTTATGTACTCTGTTCCTTAAAATGGTTAATTTTATAAATTTCGAGAATTTAATCAAGTTGAAAGTGATCTGAAGTGTGATTTGTGCCCAATTTGACCACACGTATATTTCTCAATGCGTTTTGGATGAAAACAGTTTAGTAGCATAAAAAGTGGTGATCGAGATTCCAAGAGAGCAAATTATGGCCCAACAGATAAGTATCGCAAACTATATTTCATATAAGACGTCTGAAATGTTTCTCAGAAAAATTACAAAACCTATGTAAAAGGCTTTTCAGAAGCGCTATCACATTTGATTTATTAATGATAAAAGTTTTGAAATTTATAGTAATGAAAATGACGCTTGTAATTAGTCCAGGCAATCATGTTCTTAATTCATTTCATACTGATACAAATAATCTCTTTTACATGGTGTTAATCTGTGTCTCAATGCATGAATTCAAGTTTCGAGAAGTTTAATTAGCTATTCATATATTGTGCAAGTGATGTACTCGCATTGTGCAAACCTCGTGGGTGGCAGTATGTCCGAATTGCTTACTTACGCCTATTACTCCTCGTGAAAGAGCATAGGCCGCCCACTAACACTATCTAACCCTGTCGTGGGCGATTCTTTTCATGTCTATGTGTTCTTCGGCCTTCCTCTTCTCCGTCTGTCTTCAGGATTCCAAGTTAGTGCTTGCCTCGTGATGCAGTTTGGTGATTTTCTCAATATCCTATCCATTTCTAACGTCTTTTCCTAATTTCCTCCTCAGCTGGGACCTGGTTTTTTCCCCCCATAGTAGTCTGTTGATGATGGCACATCCGGCCAACGGACATTGAGTATAATACGTAGATAACCGTTCATAAGTACTTGTACGTTTTGATGATGGTTGTAGTAGTTCTCCAAGTTTCAGCTCCATACAGTATAGCTGTCCTGAACTTTGCATTCAATATTCTGACTTTGATATTGGTTGACAGTTGTTTTGAATCCCATATGTTCCTCAATCGTAGGAATGCTGTCATTGCATTACCAATCCCCACCATTACATCTGCATCAGATCCTCCTTGTTCATCGATGATGCTACTCAGAGAAGCGAAACTTTCCAACTCTTCTAGAGTTCCTCCATCAAGTGTGACTACGTTGGTGTCCCCCTGTTGTTCTGCATTTGTTGATGTGTAAGGGATAGAAGGGTCAGGTCATCTGCGAAGCCCAAATCGTCTAGTTGCGTCCGACCTGTCTGTTGTATTTCGTGCTTCCTGTCAGATGTCGAGGTCCTCTTAATCCAGTCAACTACTAGAACAAATAGGAATGGTCAGAGTTGTCAGCCTTGTCTGACTCCGGTCCACACTTGGAATGCAGCTGCCCTCCGTGCGTGATGTTGCAGTGTAATACATCGTTTAAATCCCATATGATGATTTTATCCGGTAAACTATAGTGTCAAAGATGTTTCCATAAAGTCCTCTTATCAACACTGTCGAATGCTTTCTCATAGCGATGGAACGTGACGTATAGTGATGAGTTCCATTCAGTTGATTGTTCAACGATGATCCGTAGTGTCTCAGTTTGGTTTGTGCACGACCGATCTTTTGCCGAATCCGATGTGTTGATGTTGAAATTGATCGTCCACTGAGTCTTTCATTCGGTTCAGCCACACTGTTGAAAACGTTTCCTGGTACTGATATTGGTGTGATGCCTTTGTAGTTCTCACGTTTGCTCAGATCTCTTCTTTGGTATCTTGATGAGGTGTCCTTCTTTTCAGTCCATCGGCACTTGTTCCTCCTCCCAAGTCTTCATGGACAGAGTATGAACCGTGTTTGCAGTTACTTTCATGTCTGGCTTCAGTGCTTCAGGTGGTATGTTGTCAGGTCCTGTTGTTTCCCACATTTGATTTTTCTGATGGCCATCTTGATTTCTTCGGTCGTTGGTGGAGTGACATCTATAGGAAGGTCTGCGTGTTGCTTTGATATCTGGTGGATTTAATGGAGCTGGTCTATCCAAGAGTTCCTCAATTTGTCCTGCCCATGTGTTCCTTTGTTTTTGAATCTCAGTGATTGTTTTTTCTTCTTTGTCCTTGATTGATCTCTGTGGTACCTGCTAGTTTCTTTGTTATGTCACATAGTTGTTTCATATTTCCATCTCATACAGCTTCTTCCACTTTCGTTGCTAGGTCTTCGATGTATTTCTGCTTGTTAGCCCTAATGCTCTTCTTCAGTTGCTTGTTTACTTCTGCGTATTCGTCTTTTGTCTTGACTTTCTTTGCCCTTGTTTGGCTGTTGTTAAATGCTGTCTTCCTGTTCTTCTTTTCTCGAACCTTGTACATTGTTTCGGTAGAAATCAGTTCTTTATCATGATGCTTGTTGCGGGTCAGAACTTCTGACACGTTGAAGTTAGTGCTTCTTTGGTCTTTTTACAGTTGTTCTCTATAGCAGCTTCTTCGTTCAGTAGATCCTGTAAGTCTTGGAACCTGATGTTGAGAGTTATTTGAATTGGTTGAGTTTTTCAGTATGTCGAAGGAAGTCTGTAGTGATCCTTTTGATGCTGTTCGTTCAGTCTTCCAATGCTTCTTTGTCTTCAGTTTCTTCTTGGCCGTAACCAGAGGGTGGTGATCTGAAGCTATTTCAACTCCGTTCTTAGTTCACACATCTTCCATTGACCTGAATTTTTTATTGATACAAATGTGGTCGATCTGGTTCTACGCCGTGTGATCCGGTGAGATCCATACAGCGTTTGTGTGAGAATATTGTTCCGCCTTTAACCAATTTGTTGAATGCACATAGGTTTGTAAATCTCTTCACATTTTCGTCTCTTTCTCCTAGTCCATGTCTTCCCATGATATCTTCATATTCGATGTTGTCCATTCCGACTTTTGCGTCTAGGTCTCCCATCAGGATGGTAAGATCCTTTCTTGGGTACTTCACTATGATCGATTTCAGCCTCTCATTGAACTGATCTTTCATCAAGTAATCCCTCAATAAAGCTAAACATGTTTTATGACGGTAAAAATAATAAAAGTATAAGGTTGGGAATAAGTATCATCTGTAATTAATAATAATCATTCAGTATTAATTACACTAATTCACAATTCTAAATTTACCTTACAAAATAATAGTTTTACAAAGGTTTTCATAAAATCTAAACACAATTCAGGCCTTTTTCAACCTAGTCAGTCAGTCAGCTACAACGTAGGACCAGGCACATATGTGCATCGGTCCAGGTTGCCATACCGCATCAGCACAACAAGATGAACACCGGATTCATAGCATGTAAGAGAAAGATTGCATATAGAGATATAGTACAAGAAGAAAGAATTGGTTCGTAGAAAGAAAAATATGAAGTGATCTTAATCTCTTAGTTTAAGGGAAGACAGGGAGTGTATACACCGACGCCATTGTGATCGATTCTGAGCCATGTCGCCAAGAGTCTCCAACCATTGGTTACGAAAGTCACGCGGACCCCAACCAAGTAGTCTGCATCTACCAACATGGCTCAGACTAGAAGTTAGTGACTTCAAGCACTGATGCCACGTTTTGGTTTGGCCACCCCTAACTTTCTTCCAACCATTTCCAAAACCGGATAGCATTGCACGTCGTGGTAATCGGTGTTCAGGCATACGTAACACGTGGCCCAACCATCTCAGTCGATGAAGATTCATAACCTCATCAACTGATTTACCATCATTCCCTAATACCCTGCGTCTAACCTCACTATTACTTACCCGGTGATCCCAGCAGATGCCAGCAATATTTCTAAGGCATCTGTGGTCAAATACTAATAGCTTACGAGTGTCTTATACTCCTAATGGCCACGTATCGCAGTCGTAGGGTAGAACAGAACGAAATGCTGTGTAGTATACTCTTCCCCTAATTGATAGACGGATATCTTGCCTCCGCCAAAGGTGACGTAAGTTGGCAAAAGCCAAACGAGCTTTTCGAATCCGTGCTGAGATTTCGTCAGACACCAACCCATTAGGGCTGATCAGACTTCCAAGATAAGTGAAGTTGTCAACGCGTTCGACTACTTCACTCCCTATCCTTAGTTCAGGTGTTGACGCAGACCAGTCCTGAAGCAACAACTTGCATTTAGAGGGAGAGAAGTGCATTCCAAACATCCTGGCATTGTTGCTCAGTGCTACCAAAAGACTCTGCATTCTATCAGCGTCTTCACCAAACAGGACTATGTCATCTGCGTATTCTAAGTCGATAAGTGGACCTCCTGGTAGGAGATCAATACCCGAGAACTCAGTCGACGAGAAAGTTATTTCCATCAGTAGATCTATGATGAAGTTAAACAAAAATGGGGAAAGTGGACAGCCTTGACGGACACCACTTGAGATTGCAAAAGTAGATGACAGTTCGCCATAAGCTCTGACTCGACTAGTAGTGTTCGAGTAAAGAGCCTTTACAAGGCTTATGTACTTCTGGGGTACGCCTTTCAATGACAGACACTGCCACAGAATCTCGCGGTCCACCGAGTCAAATGCTGCTTTCAAGTCAAGAAAGACCACCATTGACGGACGCCGATAAGTATGCCTGTGTTCTAGAATCTGACGAATGGTGAATATGTGGTCGATGCAGCCACGACCAGGTCTAAAGCCAGCTTGGTTCTCTCGTGTTTGCAGTTCACGAGTCTTAGTTAGGCGTCTGATAATTATCGAGGCTAGTATTTTAGATACTATATTAGTTAAACTAATCCCTCTATGGTTGTCACAGGATGATTTGGACCCTTTCTTATATATTGGGACGATAAGTGATTGTGACCAGTTAGATGTGATAACGTCTAACTCCCAGATTTTAGCTAAAATATTAGTCATCAACCTAGACAGCATATCTTAATCCTATGGAACATTCTCGAAGGTATTAAGAACACTTATTGACGACATTTTCATTATATTTTTGAAAGTGAATGATAAACAATCAATTCAAAAATGATGAAATTCATCGAACAATATAAAAATAAAAGAGAGAAACTACTTCTTATTTTCTAGTAAACTACTATATGGTAGTGTCATTACTTTACCTGTTCATTCTCTATATAAGAAATTAATTTATTATTTAGAATAACAGTCAATCATTATGCTTGCAACAACATTGTTTCAATCTTTTGAATATATTAAATTTGATTATTGCATGGACAGTTATAATCGTAGCTGAAATAATATTACATAATCCAGAGAATAGAAATGTATATGCATAGTTTTCAGTTTGATCTTTGATTATACCTAAGCGTAAAAATAATAATAAAATAACAATATAGGTCTTATAATAACAAATAAGATTTATTATAAAATTCTGTAAATATTTTATAGTTAGCAAAATAGAAATTTTCATGTCCACTAATTCAGTGCTGTGTTGATGGAATATTTTTTAGTATGAAGAACTCATTAATCGTTTGAATAGTACTATCGAAAACTGTAACGATGATAAAATGGTTCATCTTATGTCAAGTACCACTTACAATTAATTTTGTGCGAGAAAGGAATCTCGTGTCATGCGACAGGTCACCGAAATATAGCTAATTCGTATGCCTATTTTCGAATTAATCACTAAGGGATTATCTTCTGTATCTTTATAGATTTTAAGCTTTCGACCAATATATAGTAAAACGAAAAGATACTAGTTCTATTTATTTACCGAGACCTAATTTTTTATTGAATCACGAAGTTATTCTTTTTCAACTGTCTGATATTTATCGGCTAATCTACCCACAGTTTCATAACAGTAAATGAAATTTTAATTTTGACATGTCGATGAGCATTTATAAGACGAAAAACTATTGTAAAACTAAAATATAGTACTCCGTGATAGTTCGTTACACTAACGACTAGCAGGTTAGGCAAATTAATGAAAATGTTTATAACCACAGTTCCATCCTTCAAAGACTCATACATTAATACGAGTTTTATAAATGTTACCAAGTGACGATTGTTAACGGGAATAATATTTATCCAAAATTGGTCTATTCAGTTTCATACATTAAATTATCTCATACCGCTTGGTTCTGTAGTTTAATCTTTTCACACTTGGTTATTCTTTAGAAAATGAAAGGAGAAGGATTTTCGTTGTTTATATATCTTAAAAGTTAATGACAGGTTTTTATTGAAGGTCATTTGGATGATGAACTAGCTTTATCTAGACAAAAGTCAAGGGAATTTAAGTAGTTTGAACTTCCAATTTGAGATAATCGGATTTCTCTCACACAAGATTTGGTAGTATCTCATAAATTACACAAAATTTTTACTGAACAATAATAATAATAACCAGTCAAATGATTATGAAATAATTTGCTTATCCTATTTCATGCTACTTAATAATCTTAAGGTAGTATAATAAAGGTGAAGTTAAATGGTTGTGTGATCTAATAGTATTTTCAATATTCTGTTTATTCACTTGAATGAATAGAATAATTTTACTTCAAGCTAATCAAACAAACAAAACGTAAATCTTTTAAGAAAATTTTTCTGACTAACCTCCTAGTGGTCCACCAATTAAATAACCAGTTGCTTCAGAAAAAAGAACCATAGATAAACTTCTATCTACCTTTTTGTCACCCATAATATCAATAACCATTGCATGTGAAAATGCAAAACTTGGTCCTACAAAAATACTATAAGATATGCCGTAGGCAATTAAAGATGAATATGTTGGATAAAATGGCATAATAATGGTGTGTATCGATATAATAAATAAACAAGCGGCTGAAAGAAAACGAATATCTAATTTTCTCGAAAAATGTCCAATAAGTCCAATTGCTATTCTGCTTAACATATTTGATAATCCGACGTAAGCAAGTAAACCATTGGCTTTTTCCTCCCTCAATCCACTGCTTATACCAAAATTAATGAAATGACCATATAGTATGGAATCAGCCATATAACTAAAAGAACGACTGATGAGGAAGCTAAGAAAAAGAATATTTTTCAAACTAATGAACGACATTCTCCTTTTCTTTATCTCATAACCAAATGAATCTCCAACTTTCTCATCCTTTATCTTAGAAATCATTAAGTCAACAGCTTCTTTAGGCTCGTCCACTGAAGTTAACGATAAAAGTCTAGTTCTGCCAGGCAAATCTTTACACTTGTATAATGGTACCATGACAGCTTGACTTTGGTAAATGGTAGTTCCACTTCGTATCATTTGATCAATATATCCTCGAGACTCATATGAAAGTTTTGGATGATCCAAGTTTAAATGTGAATTCGCAAAATGGTGCTCAGATGAAGTTATTTTATTTTGTGAAGTATTGTATGTAGATTCTTTGGTAGATGGCGTATTATCAGAGTTCCCATCTTCATCAGTTTGATAATCGATTTCATTTTCTTCAAAAATTGTATCTTCAGTCGGCTTGATATTCTTTAAAGCATAAGAACGATAATCTGATGAGAAATTCGGATTCATCGAATCAATACATTTTTCCTCTACAATCACAGTAAGTGGTTTTGGATGAACCAACAGACTTTTTGAAGTTAACTCTTTTGAAATTTCCTCTACCTTGACAATAGCACGTTTAATAACTGCACTTATTAGATTTTCAGTGTATTTAGTATCATGAGCTTGAATTACGCTCGAAGTAAATGAATCACCAAAAAATGGTGTTGTTTTCGTCTTTGTCTGAGCCACTGTTATTGCAGCTGTAGATTTATTTACATTTGGTGTTTGTTCCACACTTGCTTGAGAATTGATAAATGCAGTTGATCCCGTGTGAGTAACATGGTCAGTGAATAATTTATCGATTCCACTTAAACGACTATCAACTAGGAATTGTGACTCTGGTAGATTAGTCTTAAAGTCGCTCAGCTGATCACATACTAAAAATATGATTGGAAGAAACAGAGTGAGACTGGGATATGGCATTACTTCTGGCTTAATATTCTCCGCGTTGTCAAAATAATCATCAACTATTGTCTGAATTCGTTCTAATAAATGTGGTTCCGGGTCGTTGATAAAATTGATCGGACTAACCGTAATCTGATTTGAATTAGTTTTGTCATAAGTAATTTTGACGAACTCTACAACACCAATTATATTTTGTCCGGTTATCCGTGAATGTATTGCCTCTGATGCATTTTTGTGTACAGTATTATCAACGCTGGTTAGTATACTGCCACCAGTTGTACTTATAAATGATTCATATGTATTTGGTGGGCCTGTAACAGATTTTAAACAAATTGTAGACGCTACTGGATCGTTAGGTAGTAAGATAACGGGTTCTTGAATGGGTTCAAGAGGTAATGGTTTGTGTAATAAACTTAAAGGAATAACATTAAGATGGAATAAAGCTAATGAAATTAAGGCCATACGCCAGGTATAATTTTCAATCATATAATTGCATAGTAGAGTATAAAATAATGTTCCGAAACCGCCACCGCTACTACAAATAGCCAAAGCCAATATTCTATACCGATCAAAGTATCCTGCCATGATAGCTATAATACGAACAATACTGATACCCATTCCGACGCCTAAAATAACGGAGATAAAGGAAAGACAAAATGGTATATTTCAATAATGTTGAGAACACAACAGAATGAACTTAATTCAGGAAAAAATGACTATATGAACATAACTTGAAGATCTATCACACTTCATGGAGTATAGGTCTCTAGCTTATTATAGGAATAAGGTTGGCCTTAATTAGATGTCGAGCAAAAATGTTTCCATAGATAGTTATACTTTAAAACGTAATCATTTTGTATTGAAGAAGATGGTATTTCGAGCATCATTAAACTTCATTAATGACTTAAATCAAGCCTAAGTGTTTTCGAATTTGTCAACACCATAGACCATTAACTTTGTTACGTTATCTTTTTAGAAAATGAATTCAGAGTAGTTACTCACACTTAAAGGATCATGGATGGTGTCACAACAGTAGTTCGCATGTGACATCATAAATTTGATCAGTAAAAGTCGTAATTCATAATAAATGTCTCAAACCAAAGCAATAAATGTAATTCACTTGTTAGGTTCAATTTTATGAAGTTAGATATAAGCCTGACATTTTATGTGTTAACTAATCATATTGATCGATTGGTAAAAACGTGATAAAACGAGTGACGTTGGAGGCTTAAAATTAACAGTTGAAAATCAAATGCTGTATTCACTAAATCATCACTCCTCCATGTAGTTAATAACAGCACAAGATACACAGGCTGAAGAGTTTTACTCTTTCTTATTGCTACTATAGTGATCTACATCAAAATACCAATGGGTCATACTGAAAATACAATTTATAATTATAGAATAATGTAATGCGTCGATCAACTAACGTCACCCAGCAAACTATAAATTGTAAACACATTGTAACTTATCATTGTAATTTACATTAATCACACATCACTCAATTCATAATCTTCAATGATTTAGTTACACTAGTAATTAATTGAAACACTTGTTGTTAGTTTAGTCTTAAATGAATAATATATGATACATTTTAGGATAAATTTAGATCTGATCTTTGAAATTAATATCTATCTTGTTAGGGAAAATCCATCAATTATTCGAAAGTATAATTAACGTTATAGATTGTCTTGAAAGACTGTTAATATTTATTTCATATTTCAATGAAGTACTATAATGATTTGTTTACGCATATCATGGTGAGTATTATCGAGATTCTAAAAAAGAGATGTATTTCATTTATCGCAACAATAAAATTCTCTTTAACTAAAATAGTCGATGAAGCTCTACTCAATCTTCAAAATACATTTTTCATGAATGTATTTACATTTTTGGTCACTGATGATAATAATGAGTAGAAACATAAGCAGTAAAATATACTTTCATTTGTAAAGAAATTCTTTAATAAGTGTGTTTAATTAAAACAGAATTAATTTACCTCCAATTAAAGTATACGTTATGAAAAATCCCCAATAACTATTAAAGAATACTGAAGCAACCATAGCAATACTGGTTATCATCACAGCAACAATAGTAGCACGTTTAGTGGCTACTACATCCAATAAACGATTATATAATGGTGCTAAATATTGATGAAAAAATATTATTCAATTTTATTTAACAAAAGAATTGTATAGGAGAGTAAATAATCAAAAACAACTCACTGAGATATAATTCGATGTGGTGTTAACAGTTGTGAAGTAAATCACACCATATGATGAAACGAATAAATGATGAATTGGATTGTAGTTTAATGAACTAGAAGTTTAATATTTGGCAATGAAGTGGGAGATTTAATTATCACTGTACCTATTTTATAATCGGGGTATTGGGTTAGTATGAATTATTTTAAAGATTATAAATAAGAAAAAGCCGAGGTTTATTCTCAAGCTAATGGTAAACGTGTAGACTGTTTCGATGTCACGGCGCGTACATCGGAACATTATGTTGTCTACCAAAACTGAAAGCTATTATTTTCTATTGACTATGTTATAAATAATTTCACTCAAAGAAACATTTTAATCTATTTAACTAATGCTGGATTATTAAAACTATGATTTAACCTTTACAATTTAATGACATAATCTAGGTTTTAGGTTTTATTACTCCTGAAGTAAAGCAAATGGGTATAATGCTTATATAAGTAATATGTTGTAAATTATTTACAAGATTATCAGTTTGATCTATATATGATATTTATTTTCTAAACTAACCAATTTTTCCTACCTAAATTCCTACTAACATTGTATCAAACTACTCGATCTGTAACTAATAGATTCTGTCAAATGCATTATATTATTAAGTCTATCAACTATAATTTAATGTCAGAAAGGTTGTGTGGATATCATAGTAATTTCAGTGGTTGAGATCATGAGTCAATTAAAGCTGGACCATCATGGAAAACGTGGAGGCACTGTACGACCGTTTCGTCTTATCGTGGGACTCATCAGCAGTGCTTATCCACGACCTCGCCTCGCGAGATTCGAAACTAGGACCTAGACCACTGAGCCGGCATCCAACGGTGTTAATGTCTGGGGTGCCCTACTATAGGACGAAACGGCCGTCCAACGCCTCCAGGTTTTCCATAGGAGTCTAGCTTCAATTGACTCATGATCTCAACCATTGAAATTAATATAATTTAGTAGTTAAATTTATCGATTTTTTTAAAATACAATTTTCAGAGCCAAATGAAGATATAATGTAGTTATTTATATGAATATTAATTATATTAGTAACTTGATCTTGATGTAAACTCAATTAGTTAACTGTTTTAAAGTTCTGATTTAGATTAAAAGAAAACAGGTAACAAATGTCTAAGAAATTGTCGTGTAAGATATAATCTGCTAGTGAATGAGGTCACTATGAAAGATGAACTATAAAGTCGCATATCCTTTTGATGAATAGCTATACAAATAACTACCAGTAAGGGAAAAAGTTCTTTTCTGAACTTGGAAATCAAATTAAAATTTTTCAACATAATCAAATAACTAAACACCTCATATAATTAAAACTTGAAAAAAATCATTAAACAAAAAGAAATTTTTTAACCAATTTATTTTCGTATGAGTTTCCTGTCAATGAAATTTTATAAGGTAACACATTGTCCACTGGTTAAAGGTCAGTGAAGTAAGATCATTTTTCCCAGTCATTTCGATAACTACGTTTAATAATTTTCATCACTTCAATTGTCATTAAACATAATTAGGTGAATCATAAGTACATATTAAGAAATGGTGCCGATAAGAAAAAAATGAACTTAACGAATCTGGATATATACCTTAACATGTTATAATACATACCTAAACAACATGTTATTGCAAATTGTCCAGTCATAAGCCAAAATAAATAACTAATTGAAACTTCTAATGCTTCTTCTAGTCCAGGGTAGAATAGAGCACCAACATTAAGTATACCATAATGGCTTGCTACCATAAGGAATGCGCATATTGCTTTTATCCAAGCTGGACGACGATCTATGCATCTTTCTCGTTCAGAGAGTATATCTATCGGATTTTCTGTTTGGAAATGCTGCGGAAAAATTAAAATATATAAAAAATTACCATTTATAGAAATAAATTAAGAAGCTGTTTATGTATAAATAAAATATCTTTAATTGATAACAGATGGTTTATTTCAAGAGTATTGTCCTGTTACTATTAAAAACCCAAGTTTAATGGTTCAAACAAATTGTCCAGTGGATTCTAGAAATGAACAATTCTATTAGTCAGTACTGAGTATTCATGGTTGATGTCTAGGATGGAACCAATAGTCAAATCCCATGTAACTTTAGCAAATAATCTGGTGAATGGAATGAAAATAATATATGCATTACATATTATCAGTGGTCACTCTCTTTGATGATTCTGATTTCCTAAGAATACAGTACACGATGTTCATTTGTATAGATGGAAAGATTTATCTACAATCTCCAAAGAAAAGATCAATCATTATTTATATTATTCACCATTCATATTAGTGTGAAAGTGGTATTTTGCTACATGCAATTATACTAATAGTTTAAATTACATCTGACCTTGTACTAGAGTCTGTTAGATTGTTTTATAACGATCGATCAATATCACTTTACGAATTAAATAATTATAAACAAATTAAATCTTAATTTTGGGCTTTCTTTTAATTTAGCTTTAACATAACTAACCAAGTGTGCTGAAGATTTAGCTTGTTATTCAAAGCATGTCATGCTATATATATATATAGAAACATATTTTGTGATTACTGGCACTCAGTTTTAAGTTATTTTTAAAAGTTGAGAAAAGAGAAATGCCAAATGAAAACTAAACATTTTTCATTCTGAATATTCATCTCAAATTTCTATCCAGGACATTGACTTTTTATAAAATCTAGTTTACTATAAATAAGATAGTCTATTAACAAAATTTTCTGTGTTCTGTTCATTGCATTAGAAATAGAATAGTCAAATGAGAACAGTCACCAGTAAAACATTATTACATTTAAAAATTCATTATAATATCCAAGGTTAGGCATAAGGCTTGAAGATGCTCTAATGACTGTCGTCAATAAATAAGGTATGGCTGGATACTCAAGAAAGACTATGGTTAAGATGAAATGTTTGACTTTAGTATGTTACCTAATAATGATTCGTTAAAATTAGTAAATCACTACTACTTGGTTTATGAAAATCGTTAATGATCACGTGAAAACATTCGAAACTCTGACAATATATGTATATAACTATTATTTTATAAAGCTTATACTGTTATTTTGAGAAACAGACAATAAAATGTTTAACTGTCTTCCTTACTATGCTTCTGTTAGTAGCATCGGAGAAACTAACCACAACAACTGAAAATGGAGTAACCGAGCAAAGCCGAGCTTAGAAAGTAAACATATTTGATTTCGGAAAATTACAATATATGACATCCTTGAAAACACTATTAAAAAATAAAATCTTGGCCAATATACCACTGAAAGACATGGATAGTTAAAAGCTATTGATGTTTAGCAAAGCAAGTGTGATTTAAACATTACCGATTTAGCGCTGAGGCGATTAACCGTTTATGTAAACTTATTCAACATAGAAAACCAATGATGTAAAGCTCACATAAGAAAAGTCAATGTCTATCTTTTAGATCATTTATCGATATTTAGGTAACATTACTTACTGGTGGATACAAGTTAACTTCAGTTAGTCTTATAGTTCAACCTGATATTTATTATCAGTTAGAAAAAAGCATATCTACATGAATCTGTTTCTCTAGATTGAATATTCCATCAAACGAACCTAATCTTTCTCTAAACTAGAGACCAAATCTTCAGTAAGCGACACATAATTATAATAGTTAGATTTTTTTATCTACACTATATCGAGCCTTTTATTGTAATTGTAATGGAACTTAAATTATGTGTAATATGTTTACAAACGGTTATGTTTATTATAGTGAGATGAAAGATTTCTGTTCATATTTTCAACTGGTTTTGCTTTCCTGCAGTTTGGGTTGAAACGTCTAATACAGAGGCATTTATTTGCGTTAACTGTCCATCAAACTTCAGTTGACTGCAATAATACATTTAGTATAGAAATTTTGAATGCCCTTAAATGTGAGAGATTTATCTACCATAGTCAAATGTAAGCTTACTCCTAACTTTGGACTCTAGATAGTTAACTTCTACGATGGTGAAGAGTTTCTATACTATTACAAATCAAAGTGATCATATATTGCATCAAGTAGAACGAGTACTCGTTAGTGCAGTGTAGAAAAGATTATTAGTGTGTGTATTCAAGTACTTAACTATTCTTTTCTAATTAATCACAATTTGAATAGACGGAATATAGAAGGTGAATTTGTACTTTTATGCAATGAATATTTCAATGGAACTATTCACCTCTTTTCCTAAACTGACAACCATTAAATCCAATAAGATATTGTTTAAGAACGAATTCTAGGTTTACATACAACGGTAACTTTTGCTAAATATGAAACAATTGATTTCTTAATAAACAGATGTCACTACTTTAAAGATGATTTTATTCTCAAACAGTGATAATGAAGCTATAGGTACTAGGTTTAAATGCTAATATGAATGTAAGCACTAGAATGTAAATGCTTCATGTTGATAATTCCCGAAGTGTATAAAACTTGCATTCTGTTATCCCATTGATAAAGATCTTAACGCTAGATCACTGAGCCTGCATCCAACGGTGTCAATGTTTAACTTTAACTAATCTACGAAATTGAGCGACGCATCCACCATTATCATCAGTGGGTTACTATCTCACAACTGACCTGGTTGAACTCCACTGGTCAATACTTCTCACTAGAACTCCAGGAATACCTCTTAAAGCTAGTCACTAGTGAGTATATGTTGATTAGTATCAACTCCTATGTTCGAATCTCATAAGGTGGGATCGTGAATGCGCACTCCTGAGGAATCTCACAATAGAACGAAACAGCAGTCTAGTGCTTTCAGGTTTTCCACGGTGGTCTTGTTTCAACTGACTTATGATCTCACCTATTGAAATTACTACAATCTCTACAAAACCCCTTCTGATAATAAAATTTATAAATGCATGAAATATTATGTCATATTTCAAAATGACGCAATATATCATTACAAACTAATTTAATTTATTCCAAGATATCAATAACAGCAACAACAACAACAAGAAACAACACACATTCTTACAACTAACAATGTAGTCACTATTTTAAATGCATTACATTTAGTTTATGAAAAATATTTTATTCCAGGTATTTTATTGTAGCAATTTTATTTAGTGAAATCTTTTCTCTTTTTTTGTTTCTTGATAAAATATTTTTATGATGTCACCTATTATACATTGAATAACCAAATCCAGTTAAATGATCTTTATTGTTTTACGTATTTTATTGATGTTTGTTAATATGAATGGTATTTTTGATATTACAAACTAGATTACTTTAAGTACTATTATAATCGATCAATGGTGTGTATGGTTTATGAAAATACCATAGTAAGATACTTGTTCTTTGTTTTCTTCTTTCCAATCATTAGTACATATTACATTGGACACATTGGATGGAGAAAATGACTTCTTTTAAAATGATTCATTTGTTTTAAAAATGTAATCACTTTTACATAAAATGACCTTAAGTAAATTTGCATTAAAATAAAAAGAACATGAAATGATAGTAAGATATATTGGGTAAATTTTATTAATAAATTGATACACTTCATATGAAGTATTAATAATTAATAATTCAAATAAAATATACCAGAGTAATAATACAGAATGTAGTCGTGTAAATCAGTGTAAAAATATTTTCTAGTATGAGATATTTATTACTTATGATGTTTACAATTGTAGTGTGTACTACTAATGTCAACAGATTTAGGTAATATTGATTATCAATCGAAAGTGGAATGTCTGGCGACACAAGGTTAAGAAGATCGAAGTGATGAGAATAAGAACAGAGAGTGATTGATATGAAAATGAAGGAATAATCATGTTTAAGACAATTGATGGATATTTTGCAAATGAAGTATTTACTGTACAGTTTTTCAGATTTAAATAAGAGTTTCTGTAATTTCGTATTCAGAAACAATATGATTGTTCCCATTAGTGTTCTCGTTCACTACACTATAACTTAAAATATGAAATAATGAGAGTTTATTATCACTTCTTGTGATATAATGATGAGGTAACTGAAAGAATTATTCTATCCATATGGATAAATTAGAGTTAAGCTTCTATAGAAAAATAATTATTTGAATTTCTCTGTAAATGAGATATTAATGAATAATAAGTTGAAAATTATTTAACATGCATAATCATCACTCATATTTGTTAGTGAATTTGATAGAACAATACTAGAATATTCATATGGCTGATGTATCCAGTAGACCAAATATCTTACAAATTGCAAGTCAGATTATTTAAGAAAGTATATGTAGGTACTAACGGATGTTATCTATACTTTCCCTCATTTTCAGGCAATTTTTTTAAGTTTTTAGTTTAGTAAACTAATTTATAATAAATTACTGACACGTTTTATTCGACGGAAAGCTACTAGCGCCAAATTTAAATTTTGAGCTCCCTGAAAATATTTAACATAAGGCAAGTATTCTGTAATGAGGAGTTATGAAGATTGCCATCCATATAAAGACTTTTTCGATTCATTCAAGATTAATGACTAGATAATATGACATTACTTACTTCTCGATGTTCAACTGATGTAAAACCACGTAATATGTTTTATAATTTTCTCAGTAATATACGGATTGTTTGCCATACAACTAATAAAACATTTTAGACCACCGTTTAATTGAGACCTTAAATGACAGCCACTTAAAAGTCTAATTAATTAATTAGATTTTAATCTTATGATTAAGTGAAGTGAAAACAGAATTTCAATTAATAACTGTCTGAATCTCTTATAATGATCAGTATGTGGACGAATAACACACAGTGATAATGATATTTCAATAATACAATGAGAAGATGAGGGTTATCAGAAATATGTGATATATTTGTTCAACACATTTCGAACAATCTGATCACACATATA